ACCTCTCCCACTGCCACTGCGACGTCACCAACGGCTACAAGAAGAAGAAGAACGTGTTCACCCTCAAGTGAGAGGCTGTTTTCGTGCTCCCTGGGTTGAATATAACATTCTTAGTAGGTTTCACAAGATTTGTGACAGATTCAACACAAAGTCAGTGTGATCAGTTCATTTAATCGTAACAAGTCCAGGTGGGGCAGTTGGGTCGAGTTTAACTCATCATTTTCACCTCGGGTCAAGTCACACTGTAGAGACGATTAGGGATTATCTACAGCTATTTTGCCACAAGTAAAATAAATGCAGGAAAACCTGCGTTCCAGTTGGCAAATAAATTCTTCATGCCGCCATCTAGAGGTGTGGTTGCAGATTGCAAACAACTGCTTACCCTTCAGCTGGCTCCGCACTGCGTACAGCGAGCGCTCAGAGGCCGTCTTTCGCCTTGGAGTGGACTCTCCTACCTTCGTAGATATGAAGGGCTGGTTTTAAAGCTAACCAAAACACAAATATTTTTCTCGGATGATTATTCCAAAAAGAAAACAACGTTCCATAAAAGCTAATAGAATCCTCTAAACTCTACATGTTTAAAACCCATTTAATCCATCCAAACAGTTTAGGTACGGCGGGCTGATGTGAAGCGTCTGCTGCTTCAGTGTCTCAACGTGTTTCGCACTCCACTGTTCCTAAGATCAATTTCTCTCCTATTACAGAACGAAGGACGGCAGTGAGTTTTTGTTCCACGCAAAAGACGAGGTGGGGGTCGTTCTCATTACATCTCCAAATAGCAACTTTTATTTTGTCATCACGCATTGTTGAAAGAATTGAATCGCTGAAACGAGCAAAGAAAGGTCCGTGATCCGTCTCTTAATCCACAGGAGGACCTGAAGGTTTGGGTGGGCAACATCACCGGCAGCATCACGGAGCACGAGGACATCGCCAAATGGGGGCAGCCCCAACCAACTACCTCATCCACCGACGAGGGCACGCGGCAAGACGGCAGCAAGGCGGAAAACCGGTCAGAGCGAGGCGGTGAGCGCTCGGACCGCGGCGACCGGATCGAGCCGGCGGAAAACGAGACGGAGAAGGAGAAGGAGAAGGGCGAGCGATCGGAGCGGGGAGGGAAGTCGGACTCTAAGCGCTCGGAAAAGTCCGGTAAGAAAAAGTGAGCCGTGTGACGGAATCGGTCGGGATTGAACCGTACGAACTCCGGATCGGAGGCGGGGCCGTAGACTGGTAGTGCAACGCCCCACACCGATCCCTCACCCCGCCCTTCTCTCCGTCTCCGGCGCTGTCAACAAAAAGCGGATGAGAAGTGACGCGCGGGTCAGAGGGACAGACCCGGGCTTTTACTCGTAAGACGGACAGGACGGTTTCGGAGCAGGAGACATCTCTCTCTCTCTCTCTCTCTCTTTCCTTCTTCTGTGTCTCTGTGAGAACACACAGTCGCTGAGGCTCCGCCCCCGCCCCCTCTGGTGGCTGTTTCGGGGAACTGCAAGAGAGAGGGAGAGTTTTGCGCTGCCGAAACGCCCCAAACACAGGGGTCCGGGTGGGGTGGGGGGTGTTAACCGCGCACGTTAGAGGGACGGGACGGGCGTCGCGTTGACTCGGAGGCTGCTCTGAAAGCCGTAGCTCATTCTGTTCCATGTTTGTTTGTCTTTCTACGAGATGAGCTGTACCCATATGTATTCTCGTCCGTCTGTCCTATCTACTGTATCTATCTGTTAGTTGAGACACCCTCCTCTTTGTCTTATTACTCCTTGGAAAGACAATGGAAATTATGCCAAAATGTTTTACAGACAAATTTAGAGAATGTTTATTTTTTTGCATTTTTCCTCCTCAATGATTTATCTGTCTAGGAGGTCTGACTGTGGAAAAGAAAAAAGTGGATGTGACTCTGGTTTTACTTTGATAGCAAACTGGAAGCACATTAATCATAGATGAGGCTACGCTGACAAATGTATCATTTAAGACAAGAGAAGAGTAGATGAGATCAGAACAAATAGGGGAAATGTTTGTCATGAAAAAACATCAAAAGGCTTGAAATCCTTGAAATTAGCTTAAAATGTTGAAAAGTCTGCCTGACAAGCAGCTTCCCGTCACCTCTATAGCATTCATTTAGGATTTTAAAGATCTTCTCCTTAAGATGTGTTCAGGGCCGAGGAGTCACAAGGTGATTAACTTATTAAGTCCCTCCACAATACGGTCACTGCAGAAGGCTAATTTCTAAAAAATATACCTAAAAATACATGTACAGTATGTAGAGTTCTTGGATCCGTAATCAGAAAGAGATCAGACTCATTTAACGGTAGTCTGGCTCCTTTCGTTTTACTCTTGTTTTTATTCACACATTACATTACATTACAGGTCATTTAGCAGACGCTTTTATCCAAAGCGACTTACATTACACTTTAAACCCGTGGCTTTTCACATTTTTGCCCAGGGAGCAATTAGGGGTTAGGTGTCTTGCTCAGGGACACTTCGACATGGACATGGACCTGGAATCGAACCAACAACCTTGTGCTTCCCACCACACCTTCTCTAACCCCTGCGCCACGACGACCCGACGACACACAAAATACATAGTTTGACAAGCAGTGTTGGCCAAGATTTTGGTTCCGATGCCTCAAAAGAAATTTGTGGACCTCATGCTTAATCTGCTGAATTTAGCATTAAGCTTTCCATTCATTTCACATTTGGCTTTGATCATAAGCACAAGATCTGCAACTGGCATGTTTTCAATGAACCCCTCATCTACTCTTTTATTCTCTTATAACATCAAACTACTTGTTTGGTATTTTCTTTGATTTATTCACACAAATCGTGTGAATCCTTTATTTTTTATTTAGTTTACAGAATTCAAAATATCTTGTTTTTCTGTGTGTGCATGTGCTTGTGTGTGTGCTTGTGTGTGTGTGTGTGTGTGTGTGTGTGCCGCTGCTCTACGCTCCCAGGGTCTCCATAGCTCTCAGGTTATTTATGTTTGTGTGTTGTTCATCGTGTGCTTTGCACTGTGATACGTTCGTCTCCCCGTCCAACGCCATCCTAGTCTTCCAGAAACGTCCGATCCATAACACTGACACACACACACAAACACACACACGCACACAGAAGAATACAACTCGGCAAGTTTAAAGTGTCAAAGGTTATAAAGAGTGTAAAAGGTTATCAAACTATCCAGGTGTAGATGGGAATGAACGGATGAATGCGCAGGTGAGAGCCAGGAAAGCAGACGGACCAAATATTTAGAAACGTCTGCAAGTTGTGAGATTGCATGTTCCGCTTGAAGAGAAATCACATCTTTGATAGAAGCTCGTCTTTGCAGCCCGTTTAACTTGGTGTTTGCATTTCCTGTAAACTCACCACAAAGCCATAAACCAACAGAACTACATAACAGTTTTTTTATAAGCACCAGCAGCGGTGGCTGATGAGCAAACTGAAGTAACTGCTGGAAGCATCCTGGTCAGACGCCATTTAAAATCCTATTTTTTCCTTCTATAAAATACTGTTTTGATATCATTGCTACTAATTTGTATTTGTTTAGTTAAAGTCCAGCTGAAATCGCTGCTGCTGCACAGCAGCTCAGGCATCTGCTCAATGAGTCACGCAGTTCTTTTGAGAAAAATAAAAAATCTGAACAAAATGATGTAATATTTTTGGTTTAACGATGGTACCCGCAACCGTTTGCATTTCATTTATTTTTGAGTCTTTTCTCCTGTAAAACTGGAAAATACACAATTTAAATAACACTACAGACAAGTCTGCCTTTCTCCCCTTTGTTTGGATAATATAAAACTGAAGAATGAATTAAACAGAAGAATCAAAAGTATTTTTTGTGTATTTCAGTTGGACTTTAAACTTAAAGTGTCATTCTCCTCTCTGAAGAGCTTGTAGAGCCTAAAAATGTTATTTTACGTTTTCTAAAGTTGATATTTGCTAGGTTAATTATTTATTCTGTTCTATGAAAGTGGGATATTTTGGTAACGAGAGTATTTTTTTATTTTATTTTTTATTTGTTTTTTAGAGTGTATCATATTTAACTTCAGGATTTTAATTTATATTCTGTCCCGACCCGTTTGTCTGGTTTGTCTTCATTGTAACAACACGTCTTGAGAACTGCAACTTTCTTTTAATCTTTTTTGATTTCAGCACCCTTTATGCATCTGAATTGGGTGTGAACGCCACATCCATGGAATCATTTCACACGCATGTCGGACACAACAAAGCCAGAGTCGGAAGAGCGGCGTTTTGGACGTGCGTGGCGACGCGGTCCAGCGGCCATCTGTCGGATTATGCATCCGGCGGCCTAATGAACACTTTGTTGCTGTAGGTGCACACAGGACAAAAGCACGCAGGGTACAGATAGCAGAACAATGAAGGTCATCTGAACCATTCCACACAGCAGAAACTACCAGATATGTGACGGTGGGAATGTTCAGATCGGTCGGTACCCGGCCTGACACACCGGACCTCAGTCTGTCAGCCGAGATGAAATGACAAAATAAAATACCTTTTGATTTATCATCCATGTCTTTATAGTTGGCTCTTTTTCTGTTCTCATCTGGAAAATAGGAGATCTGTGTTTGCATGTAGATCACAAGACGATACAAATGTGCATTAAAGCAGAAATAACAGCAGTCAGTTAGTCGCTGGCGGTTTGAAAGAAGGTGGAAATCTTTACTTATACTTTAGAAGATGGAAACAATCATTCAGCTATTAACATGAAACCTTGTTTCAATCTTTGTCGCATCTTGTGCACCAAATCCACACAGCAGTATGCAGTCATTTACGAGGATTTCAGAAGGGTTTGTTTAGAGATTAGTATTGTTGTTGATGATGATGATGATGATGGTGATGATGATGATGCCCATGGTAGCAACGCACTGAAACTTTATGCAACCTTTTCTTTGCACTAGGGACACAGGCCTGTTGCCGAGTTGATGGTCAGTGGTGTTTGGTGATCCAGCGGAGGGACGTCAGAGCCAGAAGGTTAAAGCATTATCTCCTTAGGTAGAAGATGTTTTTACTGGAAGCTGTTTCAGGATTAGTTTGTTTAAAAAACATCAGCCGATTCAACGACAAGAAATTTATTTTAAGAAAAACCTCTGACAGTAAAAAGTCGGAGTCGGAAATTGGGGATGGGATTTTTTTTACAGTGGTTTTCTAATGTTGTGTAGATTCAAATATTTAATTGATTCAAACATTAAATTTAATTGAATTCATGCATTTTGTAAAACGTTTTTTAAAGAACAGTTGGTAAAATCGACCATCACGTTTACACATATGTATCGATGCTTTGAAATACCCCGTCTTCTCTTTACAACCGGCTCCCATTGCGCTCCTCATTCGTCACTCGTCACAAACTGCCTGGAATTTATAACATACTCAATACTTGTCAATGGTGCTCCGACTACAGTGCCCACAATCGAGCTTAAGTGAGTATAGTTATTATTTCATTTTTATGTTTCTGAGGACAATCAATTTAAAAAACGATTGGATCTCCCTCATCCCAGGACCCCAGAGCACCACTGTCTATCTGCCTCAGCCCGTTTCTCTGTCAGTATGCCTGCCCACAGCAGCCTGATGATGTGTAAATGTATGGAATGAGTATTTTCTGTAAAAAAAAAAAAAAGCAGCAGAGGAATAGGTTTATTAATGGGAATACTTTTCTTTTCATGTTATGAAGTGAGATTTGTTGATGGACCGGGTGGAAAACACCTCCTTCACACACACAACTGGACATAGAGGTTGCATGAATGACAGTCTCTTAGTGTGGTACTGCTGTGCATGTCTTTCACGTCCCATCCCTCCACTATGCAATCAGTGTCACAGACCAGGGGCACCAAAGCGAGTCGAGGGCGAGTGAATGAACTGATGATAGTGTGTAAAATGATCACAACCAACTGGAAATCATTTGCTCTGTACAGCCGTTCTTTGAAATGATTAATACAGATTGTGATATTAAAAAGTTCCGGTCGGTGTTTGTGTGTTTTTGTGAAGCAGATAAGTGAGATCTGAGGGTCTTGAAGGGGGTCAAAGTTACCTTAAAATATAGCACACTTCTTAGTCAGCGAGTCCATATTTTTTGCTGGTCTAGAAAGTAGATTTTATTCATTTTTTTTTGCATTTACCCGAGTGTCGTAGACTTTTTTGGTGTTTTACATAATTCACATTTAAGCTGCTGATATATGTACAAATACATATAATTCATGCTACTTTCTGCTTCTACACTACCATATTTTGGAGGGATATATACCTTTCTCTCAAGCTCATTTATCTAACATCAGTTAATACACGCCAGTTCAGATTATTCAAACAACATACAATTTGTTTAGCAATTATAATGAAAAGGCTTAGGCTTACCAGTTGTATACAACTCAATTAAAATGTGTCCCATCTTTAACATATGTAATATTGAAGTACACAATACATCACTAATTCTGTAATATATGTGCGCTTCTGCATCATTAGTACTTTTACTTTGCGTACTTTTTTGCATATTCTGATGCCAATACATTTAATTAAGAGGAATTCGGAATGTAGTAGTAATGATATTTCAAACAGTGTTTTACACTGCATTATTTGATATTTTACATAAGTGAAGTGAATCCTTCTTCCATTGTTTGTCCTCATTGTTCTCATCTGTCCGCCTTTGTTTTGAAAGGCATGACACCGGAAGCGGATGTGCAGTACGGAACTAGTTTAGTGACGCACAGTCCGCCATGTAGAACACTAATGTGAGCGTATCGTTTACACGGAAGAAAGGCGGGCGTCATGCTCCAAGTACAACTTACTTGCTGAAGTTACTATTTACTGCAAACAAATAAATGCGCCTCGAACCGGCGGACACGGCGAGTTGAGCTCAGCGTCCGACCGAAGCAACATGGAGGCGAGGTTCGGCAGCGAAGTGGCGTCCGTTGTGGAAGTCGCCATCCAGGCGACCGTTTCCGTCTTCAGGGCTTTCTGGGCGAAAGAAGCGCCAAACGCGGCGTGGGAAGAGGCGACGTTGGGCGACATCCGGGAGATAGAAAAGTGCCTGGTGGCTCAGATCCGCAAAGCGTTCGCGGAGCTGTTCGAGGAGAACGAGGCTCTGCGGGCCAAGGTGGAGCAGCTGGAGGACGTGCTGCAGAGGAAAGCCGGGCAGCTGGAGCAGGAGCTGGAGGCCAGAGTGGGCCAGCTCGGCCGGGAGATGGAGCAGCTGGAGAAGGAGCTGAAGAGCATCGGGGACGGCGGCAACAAGACGCAGGGGGGCCCGACTCAGGTCGCGGTGCAGGGCTGCTCGCTGATCGGTCAGTGCCCCGTCGATCACTGTGTCGGTCACGTGGCTCGTCATTCAGTTACATTGAGTTCAGGTAATAATTAAAAAACATGAATTATGAGCTGAGGGGGCCACGAAGTTTTTTTAAACTATATGTGGCACTAACAATTAGTTATGTTATGAGTGCGGTTACAAAGTCAGATTTCGAATGTTGTCCCAAAGCCCCAAACTTAAAAACTTTGAGTTTACAATAATATTGAAATGTAATTGAACTCCACATTTCAGAAGGTTATCACCACAAATGATATCAGCACGACACTGGGTTGATACTTTGATTTCATATTCGGCCCCTCTCTGTCTATGACACAACCCAGGAGCGCCGCTGTTGTCAGTCCCCACTTGCCCTGCCGCCCCTCTGGACGATGCGAAGGAATCCGCGCCTCACCCGGTGACTACGGGGAGCCCTGAAGCCGCCCCCGACTGCACAGCTGGACCAGGGACGGCCCCGGCGGCGTTTGACGCCAACGAGGGCCCCGCTCCGGAGGAGCCGCTGGTGGGTGTCGGCCAAGTCGACGCCCAGTCCCCCGTGTCTGAGTGGACGCCTCTAGGTGGCCCGAGTCCGGACTCCAGCGGCGGTGACTCGGCACAGGTAAAGGTTGGGCGTTTCTGTGCCGTCTTTGTCATAGATGAACGATCAACGTTCTACGTCTGTGTACTCCGGCTGCATCGCTTTCGGGAACCTTTCTCCCGCTGGCGTAGGTGTGTAATTTCAAGGGCAAACAGGATGACTGCCCAAAAAACTAGTTATGTCATATTTCTAAATAAATAGGTAGTGTGAGCAAATCTTTTGCACATTATTTAATGGAACCAATATTTTCTCATTCATCACAGAAATCTGTAGAAGAGGCACCTTCAGGGAGACCGAGGAGGACCAGGAGAACAACTTTTAAAATTGATGATGGTGAGATGCGATTTCAGACAGTTGCTTCCACAACATTTGAGTTCTGGAAGGAACTTGAATAGGTAGAGGATACAATCTTCTTTAAAAAAAATAACATGATCAAACAATGGACTTATTTTCCAGCTTCCACTGACATCGCTAAAGACAAACCAGTCCAGACAGGTGGCGTGCCGGGAAGGAGGCCGAACAGAAAGGACTCGCAGACAGCGAAGCGATTCTCCTGCGAGCACTGCGACGCCACCTTCCACTGGAAGGGCGATCTGAAGAAACACACGAAGGTCCACAAGAAGCCTTTCCCTTGTGACAAGTGCGGCCGAAGTTTTCTGGAGAAGAAATCCCTGGAAAACCACCTCCCGCGCCACGAGGCGAGCAAAGCGCCGCTTCCCTTCCCGTGTCCCCAGTGCAAGAGGTCTTTCCGGAAGGAGCAGTCGCTTCAGAACCACCTCAAGCGCCACCAGCGGGCCAAGCCGCCAAAGCCGTTCGCCTGCGACCAGTGCGGCAAGACGTTCCGGATCGAGCGCTCCCTGGAAAACCACCTCCTGCGCCACGAGAAATGGAAGCAGATGTTCCAGTGCCAGCTCTGCGACAAGACCTGCAGGACGTCCGTCCAGCTGAGGTGCCACATGGCCGTGCACTCGGAAGAGCGGCCGTTCAGCTGCGCCACGTGCGGCAAGGAGTTCAAGAGCAAGGACACGCTGCGCTTCCACCAGATCGTCCACTCCAAATCCAAGAAGTACAAGTGCGGCATGTGCGAAGAGACGTTCAAGTACGCCCACTCTCTGACCGTGCACAAGAGGAAGCACACGGGCATCACGCCGTTCACGTGCGCCGTGTGCAACCGGTCGTACAGGACCGGCACGGCTCTGAAGAGGCACAGCGTGGTGCACACGGGGGAGAAACCGTTCACCTGTCACATCTGCGGCGCCCGCTTCAGCCTGAACAACAACCTCAAGCGTCACCTGCGCATCCACACGGGCGAGAAGCCCTTCGCCTGCCAGGAGTGCGGCAAGAGCTTCTCGGACAACACCAAGCTGAAGTCCCACATGCTCATCCACGGCGCCAGGAAGCCCTTCATGTGCGACCTGTGCGGGAAGACCTTCCTCTTTAACTGCCGGCTGCTGATCCACCAGAAGTATGTGCACGCGGACCGGAACGACGATGGGACGGACGGCACGCAGCGCCTCTTTCAGACCAGGAAGAGGAACAAGTCGCTGGTGAAGCCGTTCAGCTGCAAGATCTGCCTGAGGGGCTTCAGCGCCGCATGCTCCCTCAAGCTCCACGAGAGGGGCCACAGCGAGCACAAGGAGTTCAACTGCGGCATCTGCGGGAAGTCGTTCCACAACAAGTACTCGTTCGGCTACCACCAGCGCAGCCACGCGGGGGAGAAGCCCTTTGTGTGCGACGTGTGCGGCAAGAGGTTCTTCCACGCCGGCAGCCTGAAGCAGCACGAACGCATCCACACGGGAGAGAAGCCGTACAAGTGCGACCAGTGCGGCAAGGCCTTCCGAACGGACGGGAACTTCTACAGGCACGTGCGCATCCACACAGGCGAGAAGCAGTTTGAGTGCTTGTACTGCCACAGGAAGTTCCACCAGTCAAACCAGCTGAAGTCGCACATGCAGATCCACACGGGGGAGAAGCTGTACTCGTGCCAGCAGTGTTCCCGGGGTTTCTCGGACTCGAGGCAGCTAAAGAAGCACAGCTGCGACGGGCCGTAGGCGGCGGGGATGCCGCGGCAGCTTGGTGCATTAAGGGAAAGTGAAATAATTGCTTGTGTGGCGCTGTGGCTTTTAGTTTAATCTTAATAATCTGTAGTTGAGACCTGGTACAATTCACAAAATGAACATGTTATTTATTAACCGACGGTGTTTATTTTCTTGCCTGTAATATTTTCACAGGGGCAAAGGGACGTTGGTTTGTGCTCACAACCGAATAGCTTTTGTTTAGGGCTGTTATTTCAATGCTTTGGTATCTGTTATTTTTCATTAATCTTGCTAGGGAATAATCCATAGTAATAAAACAGTAATTGAAGTAAGTGTAGCGCTACCCTTATTTGGTGGTTGGACAATGTATGTTAGCAGCATTGTGACATATTTTTTTCTTTATTTCAATAACCACAGCTGTTAAAAACAGATACTTCTGTTAAACTATTTTATTATATAGAAAACAACCATGTGAAACAAATTTCGAGGTGAGATGATATAAATGTTTCATGACTTTATTTCCGGCAGCTGAAAATTTTCCTTTTCCCCCTTTTTTATTTAAGTAAATGGATTTTGTCTTCATTAATTTATGTTTTGTTGATTTGTAATATTCAATGAAAGGCCATTCAAATGTAATTATGTTGAAAGAAAATGCTTGAAATAGTAAAGTCCTGTGTATAATGGCATTCTATTTTCTTGTCGTTGCAATAAAAAACAATGCATCGAACTTTCAAGAGTTTTATTTTGAAATATAAATGTTGAGCCGCTTTCATTTCCGGTATATACGGCGCTGTGGAGTGTCGTCATTGTTGTTTTTGAGTCGGCTGTTAGCTCTGTAGGTGAAAATGACCGAAAGGTTAGTGTTTTATTTAGAAACTAAGTCCATCATCGAGACAGTCATCAAGAGCGCTGTTGAAATCCGAAATGCCAAAGAAGAAAAAATAACTACGCTGCCAAACATGAGACGTGAAGTGAGTCGACGTGTACTATCACCGTGATGCATGCTAGCTTACAAACAGCGGTCAGAAACCGTCAACGCGCGGAGATTGACCCGACGGAAGGAAATCACGTAGCGTAACAAAGAAGGCGAAGTCATTTTAAACTTAAAAGTCAAGTTCCGAGGGGCAAACAAAGTTTATATTTCCTATGAGTTGTATAATAGGAGCCTGCTCCAGTAGACATTTTTTTAATCATCAATTATTGTTTTGATTGTTACACATAAACTGCGGGTTCACTGCGCAAAATAACCCGTACTGGATATCTAACGTTACCCTAGTTCAATGGTCTCCAACCTTTTTTACCTCACAGACCGTTTTCATGTCAGACAATAATTCGCGGACCGGTCGATAAGGTCCGACGGAGGGGGTGGGTTTAGTAGTCGCGCGCTCTGTGTTCGCTGGTGGGCGAAACTACCGTGTAAACGTGAAGAAAAACGCCTGGTGACGCGTGGGGAATATGTCAGAGGGACGAGCGCACATAATTAGGAGAAAATCCGGTCAATTTTCATAATAAAACATTTTTCAGAAAAAAATATATAGGCTTTCTGTGGCCCGGTGGTTGGGGACCACTGCCCTAGTTAACGTTTTATAATATCCATGGCTTCTGGTTGGGTTGACTGTTGTTTTAACATAATTATTTTGTATAAATGTCATCAGTTGAAACTCTTAGGATTATCTCTGCACAATGTGATTTGTGTTTTCTGACACAGTTCTAAACCATTCGTAGAAACATTTAAATGTAGGTTCTATAAGCTTGTGTGCATCCATGAATACATTTCACATCGATGAATTATTTAATGCAAACCGTATTTATAATCCTCAGACAGATTTTGACAGCATTGTGGACATTTTGGCACGGGAGGCAGCGAGAAAAATCAACGCCATTTCCTCTCAGCTGTCCTCGACGATGCAAAACATAATCAGGAGTCTGAAGGCCGAGGCGGGCCGGCTGGAGAGCGAGCTGAAGGTCACGACCGAAAGCTTTGAAAATGCCAGAATGTGGAGGGAAAACGTCCTCAGCGGCTGCCCCGTCCTGTTCGAGCAGACCGGCTTGATCTACACCTTGAAGCCGTTCGGGACGTTGAAGAGAAAGGCGGATAAATTGGCGGAGGGAGTCACAGAAACAGCGGCCGCTGCTGAGCTGGAGAATGGACACGATGCTGGTAAGGGAAAAAATAACACTACAAAATATAAACCCTATTGGAGGCTCACGTTGTATGTGGATTTAAAAGAGAGTTCGTCTCAGACAGCTGCATTATTATTTAGTGGTTTTACTGTTGACTGTGCGTTTTTATAGTTAACCAATCCCTTCTTGTTCAGATGTTGGACAGCAAACCGAGGAGGTGAACTCTGAAGCTCGACCAGGTGAGATTCTAAACTCATTCACGTGGAAGTAATACACATTAATACACGGGAAGAAAGAACATTTTTTTCTCTTTTTTATTTTTCTCCTGTCTAGAAAATGCAGATGATTACATCGCAACACACGCGGCAGGATCCAGCGACCCTGACAGCCGGAACGCAACGGAGGTGGCGGCCGAGAGGAAAGCGGAGTCTTTCGTGTGCGGAGTCTGCCACAAGAGCTTCAACCGGCGGCTCCATTTGACGAAGCACGGCAACACTCACCGGGAGCAGAGGCCCTTCTCCTGCGACCAGTGTCCCCGAAAGTTCCGGAGCGCGGCGACCCTCGAGCACCACCTGCTGCGCCACGAGGAGAGGAAGTACGCCGCCTTCTGCTGCCGCCTCTGTGACAAGACGTTCAAAACCAAGATGCACCTGAAGACGCACCAGCTGGTCCACACGGACGTCCGGTCCTTCGCGTGCGCCGCCTGCGGGAAGGCCTTCAAAACCAAACACGCGCTGGGGGCCCACCAGGTCGTGCACACCGCCGAGCGCCCGCACAAGTGCGCCGAGTGCGGGGAGAGTTTCCGCTACGCGTTCACGCTGCAGTGCCACAGGAGCGTCCACACGGGGGAGAACCCTTACGAGTGTGCGCTGTGCGGCAAAGCCTTCAGCAGGAGGAGGTCGCTCCGGACGCACCAGTCCGTCCACCGGGGGAAAGCGTTCACGTGCGAGACGTGCGGAGCGGGCTTCACCCTGCAGCACAACCTGAAGAGGCACATGCGCATCCACACTGGCGAGAAACCCTTCAAGTGCGACGTGTGCGGGGAGAGCTTCGTCCAGAACAAGCTGAAGGCGCACATGCTCCTTCACGGCGCCGCCAAGTCCTTCATGTGCGACGTGTGTGGCAAGACGTTCCTCTACAACGGCCAGCTGCAGAGGCACCAGAAAGTCGCCCACGACGAGAGTCGAGGCCAAGTGGTCCGAAGGCAAATCCGAGGAAACCGGCGCGTCATCTTCCGGCGGGACAAAACCACGGTGGACATGACGCCGTTCAGCTGCCGGATATGCGGCAAGGGCTTCGACGCGGCGGCCTCGCTGAGGAAACACGAGCTCATCCACGAGGGGCGGACGCAGTACAGCTGCGAGGCGTGCGGCAAGTGCTTCTTCTACAAAGCCACGTACGACTACCACCGGCGGATCCACTCGGGGGAGCGTCCGTTCGGCTGCGAAGTGTGCGGGAAGCGGTTCATCATCCGCCAGGCCCTCAAGTCGCACAAGCTGCAGCACTCCGGGGAGAAGCCGCACGGGTGCGAGCACTGCGGGAAAGCGTTCCGGATTTACACAAACTACCTGAGGCACCTGCGGGTCCACACGGGGGAGAAGCCCTACGAGTGCGAGGTCTGCCAGGCGAGGTTCAGGCAGCTTGGGCACGTCAAGTTTCACATGCAGGTCCACACGGGAGAGAGGCCGTATTCATGTGGCCTCTGCGGACTCGGGTTTTCAGATTCCAGGCTTCTCAAGAGACACCGCTGCGCCTGAGAAACAACCGAAAAGTGTCCGAGCAGATAATGACATGCAAGCAGGGACTTTTCTTTAATTCTTACCTCCCCAATTTAATCCTAAAGGATTACTTAAGCAATTTGGGCATTTTGTACCTACAAAATGGTTTCTGGCACCTCAGACCGTCTGTGAAAAACCCTGCAATGTGCAATTGTACACATGGAAGTGACCTTGACTAAAGATGCAGAGGGTGTGTTATCTTAAAAATTCTACGCTTAAGTAGAGGATGAATTCAAATGATATGATTATTTTCCTTCAGCATTGTATATTTATATAAGTCTAGTATAAGTATATTTATATAAGTATAGTATAGTAGTATAGTATATAGTATATTTCATGATACGTTCAATTTGACTAAGCACAGTAAAAAAGTTTAAATGAAACTAAAATTCTCTCTATCAATTCAGTTTTTCTGGTATGGTTTCTTCTTATTTTAAAAGAAAAAATATGTTGAAATATGTTGCTTGGAGCAATGATTGTACACCTCATGACACGTAAACAAATATTGTACTTTTTACCTCAATACTTTATTTGCCAGCTGTAGTTCTCAGTTATTTCGAGTCCACTGAAACTGCAAATGATACCGAAGTAAATCGGCGTACTCTTATTTTGAAGGATATGAACTCGGAAGAAGAACATCCGTGTCGTGAGCCATAGACATAATATACATAGACGCCGCATTGGCTTCTGGTCGCGAAAAATACGGCCGCCATCTTGGAGCGGTCGTACTCGTAGTTGCGTAGCAGCAGAAGATACAGGATGCCACAGCACTGTGCTGCTTATTTCTGCGCTAATCGGCGGACCATCGCCAGCAGGGCTCGGGGGATAACCTTTCACAAGTAAGATTTAATATTACCGTCATATTTGTTGGTTTTGTGAAAAGAATATTACCATAGAGTAGAGAAGGAGCAAGTATCTTACTGTAGTAAAATCTCAGTCAGCTAGCTTGGCTATGTTTACTTCGCCGGCTGTTTTTCACCTGATTATGAACTGAGACTTGATAAGTCATATTCCATAACACTTAGATTCAAACGGACACAATAATGTTATTGTAGAAATATAACCTATTACTGGTATAACATTGGCCACACAACTTTCTTGTCATGTGGAATTAACGCATCTTAAAGTAGCTTGCTATGTAGTGAACTAGCCTACTGCTGTGTTTGTGATCCTTAGCTTGCTGCATTTCACTGTGTAGTAGCTTTTGTGTAGTGAAGCTTTATTCATGGCAGAGTAACTGATAGCTTAGCTGAGTTCAATGTGAAAGCAACTTGCCCAACACAGTGTATTATTCACATGTAATTCAACAAAAGTAAGATACCTCTCGTATCTCATACCCATCCCACTTAAAATAAAGGCAACAGAACATCTGACCTTGGAATGGTTTGCAAACAAGCTTATTTACAATTTCAGCAACTTTGGTTCATCATCAACATAGGAGTTTTGTTTAAGAAAGGTTATAAGAAATGTGAAGAAAGAAAATAAGCTTGAACGTCTTTGTGAAATGTTTTTGTGTAGACTCTCCCAAATCTTCCGTTTTCATTTTGAAGGTTTCCAAAGGACAAACATGTGAGGAAGAAGTGGGAAGTGGCTTTGAGGAGAGATGGATTTACAGCAAGTGATTCATCAGTGCTTTGCTGTAAACACTTCAAGCAGAGTGATTTTGATAAGACGGGTCAGATTGTCCGACTCCGAGATGGTGTTATTCCATCAGTCTTCAGCTTCCCGGTTCACCTCCAAAAAGTAGGCTATTAGGTCTGTGTGTGTGTGTGTGTGTGTGTGTGTGTGTGTGTGTGTGTGTGTGTGTGTGTGTGTGTGTGTGTGTGTGTTAGACCCTCTTTGGTGCAAACACCCGGCGTTATTTGTGTGCTTGCAAATATTCAATTAATTTTATTTCTAATTCTATATTGTTTTTTAACGTATTAAATGTCTGACTTTACTACTATCTGTTTCTGCTTCTCTATCAAAATTATGCAAAATACCTATCATAGTCTACATCACATCATATATCAGAATATAACATTACTGTTAAGTCCACAATGAATATTAAAATACGCCGAACTATGTGCCCTGTGTCATAGCTGCATGTATGACTTTGCAGCAAAACCCCACGTGAAAATCAGTTGGGTATTCAGTGAGGTATGATTAATTGAATGCGCTCACAGCTGATTGCACCTGCAACGGATTACACTGAGCGGAGCGGAGGACCGTTCCAAGATGGCGGCTGCATTTCTCGTCAGTGCCTATAGGCGGTAGCGGCCAATGCGGCGTCTATGTCTATGTCGTGAGCGACACGAGTTTTTTTTTAAAACTTAACCACATTATTGCCCGCAGTTAATGCAATTTGTTTTAGTACTAAAAAACTCGAGCACTGAAATAAAATTCATAGCGCACTAACTTCATCGTCAGAATGTCTGATTTGAAGGTGGAGGTCGGCTCCATTTTGGAGATCATGGTGAGCACGACGGTGACAGAAATGACCAAAGTTCTCGGCGGTTCTGCTTCAACACAGTCAGAAATCCTGTCATGTTCGACCGACAACACACACCGGTCCCCGGAGGACAAGGTACGTGAAACAGTGTGTGTGTGTGTGTGGGGGGGGTCAGCGTTACAAGGAGAGCACGTCGGGGCTTCCTCCTCCTCTGGCGTCTATACAGCCAGCTGAACATAGAAATAGAAGAGCTAGCTAGATGCTTTAACATTAGTTAGCTTTCAGCGACTAAACTTGAATAACCAGTCGCCCCCAGCACTGCTATTTCGAGTTCAGTGCGCAGTCGACTAAATAGTGACACGACGCTAAACAACAGCCGGGTAAATGAATGGTGTTCGCCGTGTCGTGTGGGCCAGCAGGCCTCTCTATGTGCTGTATGTCTACAGCTACAGGTTTCACTCTGCTACCCGAGTTATCGATTGTTAATTAACAATTATAGCAAACTGTGGCGATAAGGACAACGGTGAAGGGTGTGTAACTGAAAAGCAGCCATGTCGATAAAATGAAGTTAAATGTTTGATCAATGTGGATTATGTCAAAAGTATTTTCATCACTCAATGTAGAAATAACTGTTAAAGTAAAGGTCCCATTTCAAAATGTTATTACTAGCATCAAACATCTGGCTCACTTACAGTACAACTGTTGATTAGTGTGCATTGTCCCTGCAAAATCAATGAATAAAACTATGTATACTATATAAATACACGTACTCATTATGTAGAACAGCACAGTTCAGAATAATGCATGTAGTACTAACGTTAACGTTATTCGAGTATAGTCATTTTAAAGGTGAAGCTGGTGATGCTAATTGTTGTGTTTGGTGTATGATGACCCTGCAGCTAATAACTGCTGCAGACACCTTAAATACAGTTAAACAAATGTTTAATTTGAGCGAGAGAGGTTTACTGCGTTACACTTTCCTCTCCACGTCCCGGTCTTTTACTAAGAAACTACAAAAACATCCAAACTAAACAATACTGAAATGAACCTGCTCACACGCTGTTAGCCTAATGCTAATAACAGCGCTATTCACAACGTGTCACTATGCGTAGCTAAGAGCTAACAAGCTGTACAGTAAAAAAACAGTAACATCTCACCGTAAAACTGTTCACCGAAAGCTTTTTAATGAGTTTATGGTGTTACTCTTCTTTGTTTACCATTAAACAGAAACCTGACAAAGAAGCGTGGACACAATGTACAGACAACATTACTTTATGAAATCAGTCAATGAGAAACACAACTAAGTTAGTACAAACAGTGTTGAGCCTAGACTTAAGTTTTTATTAATTTCTCTGATTATATTCAGTTTTATTTATATGGGTTTTGCAAAGTAAGGTAAACCATCAAATGAATGGTAAGTAAAGAGTGAGGTACTTTCCTCCACTGGCATGCAGCTCAGCCTGAATAAGCAAAAGGAATTTCTTATAAATTATGTGAAAGGTTCCTTAATTATACAATTCAATATGTTGATTTGTTCACCCTTGATCGACTTCAGCTATGATGCATTTTTATGGATAAAGCTATCCAACTAGCACATTAAATAGTCAATTTTAGCTCCACTTCCATCAGCTACAACATTAAAATGCTGTACGTTTTCAGTATATATATCAGAATATAACAGACTGAAACGGGACAGGCTGCATAATACTGCAAAAGTGTTTCGTACTTTTACCTTTGGCGCTTTGAGTATAACAAATAGTACTAATAGCACTTTACTTAAGTACTCAATGTTAAACTTTGCCTAAGTATATTTTAACCGTTTAATATATCAATGAGATATATATATATATATATATATATGACTATTTGACAATCAGTGTTGTGTAGTATTATTATTTTTTTTTTACATTATGTTTTTTTTAAATACCTATTTTGACAACTACTTATATGTAGAAGCAAATAGGTCCTAATGGATGTCCTAGTAAGAAAACAGGAATAAGATGAAATAGTGATATTGCTCAATGTCCTGCCATCATTTCATCATATCCTTCTAATATGTGTCACATGATGAGCTGAGGTGTGTTGCTCCCATCAGGTGATCCAGTTCAGCGTCTTTATGACGTCTCTGGCTCAAGAAGCTGTGGAGAAGATCTGCCAGCTTTTTCTCGAGTGTTCCTCTCTGCAGCAGTTAGAAGTACGTTGACTCACTGTACCTGTTGGTTAATCTGTGCTTAGGTAACCATGGGAAAATAAATCATCTATTGATACAATGAGGGGATGAAGAAGTTCCAACATGTTTTGCTGATGCTGAAGTTAATTTCTACTTAGTTTCTTACGCACATTGTTAGAAATGCAAGCTTGTCTGTACATGGGTGGCCTGCAGCTAAACGTTTCACATTTATTTCTCCTGCTCAGCAGCATTTGTTAACGATAGACAAATGTGTGTGACGCTTATGTAAACTATAATATTTGAGAAGCTGTAACGAGCAAATTTGGGGCATTTGTGTTTTAGCTTTTGATGTTCTAATAGTACTCTCAATGCAATTTCTTCATCTTAAATATATATTAATCACCAAGAGAGGGAACAGACTTTACTGGCAGTCATTGAAGTTGCACTGTGATGTTCTAACAATATGACATATCTGGTTGAAGACACTTCAGTCGGCTCCAGAAAATTTATTGTAACATTTTTAACAACAACAGAGAACAACATAATCGCCGCATTCTCAATTTGTCCCGTTTTGTTCTCTGTAGCTGACGCAGGGCGTTGCAGAGGTTGAGGACCTGAGGAGGAGACTGGAGGCAGCAGAGACGCAGCTGAAGATGGTGCTTGAAGGCACCGGAGGCCTGGAGGAGGCAGAGGAGGAGGCAGAGGAGGAGGCAGAGGAGGAGGCAGAGGAGGGGGCAGAGGAGGAGGCAGAGGAGGAGGCAGAGGGCCGCGACGGAGAGAAAGTGGGCGGCCGAGCAACAACCAGAAGAGGAGGAGTGACTGCGCATAGCCGGCAATCAACAAGGAATAGCTCCAGAGGTGATGAGGTCATCCTTTTTCCTTATAATATGTCACGACAAGCAATGATACTAAAAGAACATTTATTCTTACTCCGGGTATTACAGTCCAGAAGCAAAGCAATGTACTGATGAATATTAGACACCTAAGAAAATCAATATCAATGTAATTGTACAATATATTTAGAATCAACACCACAAACGTGAAAAGTGTTTCCCATTGGTATACGGCTTCGGGGGGCAGGGAGGGGTGCGCGTGTGCGCGTGTGCGTGCGTGTGTGTGTGTGTGTGTGTGTGTGAGAGTATGTAATGGAAACCCTGAACTCCATTGACAGAAGAAGCCTTTTTTTATTCTGAAGTTAACAATTTTGCATAGTACCGTATTTTGCGCACGAAAAGACGCACCGCATCAAAAGGCGCACCTTCAATAAATGACGTATTTTAATTATTTTTACATATATAAGGCGCATCGCATCATAAGGCGCACCTTTAATAAAACGCTTCGCATAAGGCGCTAAAGTAGAGGCTGGAGTTACGGTGCGTTATGCATCCATTAGATGCATAACGCATCCATTAGATCAGGGGTCGGGGACTTATGGCTCGCGAGTCACATGTGGCTCTTTTGACGACTGCATCTGGCTCTCAGATAAATCTTAACTTATATTCCTTAACACGATATGTAAGAAATAATTCCGCTGGAAATCACAGTGTTAAAATAACGATCACACTGTAACTTAGAGCTTTAGCTGCTTGGGCTGTTTCCGCAGAGATTTTGACTCTTACAAAGATCATCGCTGTATGAAACGATGCCACACTCTGTGATATTTCCTGACAATAGAACGCTAGTCACGCACAGAGAGAGAGAGAGTGTGTGACATCCTCACTGCAGAAAGGATCTGTGTTCACACAGACACAACAGCGCTGAACCAAACAGGTGACAGCGTCTTAGCAGAAGTGGAGCGCATTTCACTTTTCCTGCGTTTTACTCGTTTTTAATTAATTAAGTGCAAATAAATCTTGTGCTTATCAACGATTAGCGCCAATTTGTGATTTCAATAAATATACTTAAAATATTTTGGTCCTGTGGTGTGCCTCGTGTGTGCCTGACTGATGGATGCGTTATGCATCTAATGATTAGCAGTCAGATAGGTCAGTCAAACTTTATTAACAAGAAAACAAAACAACAAAGCAACAAGCAACAAGAACAATAATAACTCTGTAAACGTAAAGCTCACTTTCTCAGTTCCTTATCTAAAATCCCTCGAAAACTTCTTCTTCCGTGTCCGAATTGAACAGCTGGGCTATTGCGGCATCCAAAACGCCTGGCTCCGTCTTATCAAAGTCATCATTAACCGAGTCAGTGTCGCTGCTGTTGTCTGGCAGTTCGGTGACAATTCCTGCCTTCCTAAAAGCTCGGACCACAGTTGTGACTGATATACCAGCCCAGGCATTTACTATCCACTTGCAGATATTAGCATATGTCGTCCGGCGCTGTCTCCCCGTCTTGGTGAACGTGTGTTCGCCTTCGGTCATCCACTGCTCCCACGCAGTTCGCAGTCGAGCTTTGAATGCTCTGTTGACGCCAACATCGAGCGGCTGGAGTTCTTTTGTTAATCCACCCGGAATGACGGCGAGCACTGAATTAGTGTGCTTCACTTGTTTTTTGACATGCTCGGTGATATGTGCGCGCATGGAGTCATAGATCAATAGGGACGGAGCTGTGTGAAAAAAACCACCCGGTCTCTTCACATAAATTTCTCTCAACCACTCACTCATCTTTTCTTCATCCATCCATCCCTTCGAGTTAGCTTTTATGACAATGCCAGCTGGAAAGTTTTCTTTCGGCAAGGTCTTCCTCTTGAAAATAACCATGGGTGGAAGTTTGTGGCCATTAGCCTGGCAGGCGAGAACTACAGTGAAGGACGTTTTCTCATTCCCTGTGGTGCGAATATTCACCGTACGTGCTCCTGTTTTATCCACAGTGCGGTTTACAGGGATATCGAAGGTGAGTGGAACCTCGTCCATATTGATGATATGCTCTGGCTGGATCTTTTTTTCAGTTATCTTGTTTCTGCAGTATGTGCGGAAAGTGGCCAACTTTTCCTGATAATCAGCTGGTAGTTGTTGTGACACAGTAGTGCGCGTACGGATGGAGAGATGACGTCGTTTCATAAAACGGAAGCACCAAGAAGGACCGCCTCTGAATTCACTGATGTTATGTTCGCGAGCTAGCGCTATTGCCTTCATACGAATTGTGACTGTACTAACACTTCTGCTTGCTGCTCTTTGTTCAGCAACCCACTGTTCAACTTTGTCCTCTAACTGTGGCCATCTCGCTTTGTTCCCGCGGAAACTCTGTGTTGTCTTCTTTACTTGGCGGAGCTCATCCTCATACTTCCTCCACTTCCTCACCATTGATTCATTGATATTAAATTCTCTCGCTGCTGCTCTATTGCCGTGTTCTTGTGCGTGGCTTATCGCCTTGAGTTTAAACTCAGCGTTGTACGCGTGTCTTTTGGTAGGAGCCATTTCAGGGTATTTACAAAAATATTAAAATGGAAATGAAACGCCAGTTTCCCGGTATCCCAGCATGCACTGCGCACTATTACGGGAGAAAATCGAGTCGCGGCTGCTTACCGTAACTGAGACCTGTATGCGTTTTAATACTGGGCCATATACAAGGCGCATTGTATTATTAGGCGCATGATCAGCTTTTGAAACGATTGAAGGCGTTTAGGTGCGTCTTTTCGTGCGCAAAATACGGTAAGTACTTTTCAGAAATTAAATAAATGACCTCAGGGTTTTTTATGTAGCAGTATTACTGCACACTGGCTACTTTTACTCAAAGGAAATATTTGAATCCGTCCACCAGTGTACGAATATGAGGAACAATAAAACAATATCTTTGGTTTCTAAATCTTACAACCCTAAATGAATTATAAAAAATAGACCTGTAGATTTGACGTGCAAGGGTTTTTAATTGCCACTTAGCTTTGTAGGAAGCTATTTGTTGCTTAGAATGATGGGTTTGAGTTTCCACATATCCATGGAGCAATGACACACTGGCCTTTGACAGCAACTCGTCTCAATCATTATTTTTTGTCGTTTGAGTTGGTGATGAGCAGTTTTCTGCTAAAGAGTTCTTAAAAGACGTGAGACACAGCAGTGTGGTGTTTCTCCCCCCTCGCTGCTCCCTCCACGCTTCCCCATGGTCTACACTGTACTCTGCTTGAGGAAGCACGAATTGCCACAATTATATACTGACAAACGGCTTTTTGAATTTCAACAGATGCCGCGTGTGGAGATGCTGCAGTGATGAGATCGCCGATAGTCCGCCTGTGGAGAAACAGACGTAATGAGGTGAAATCCTGTCTTCTTCTGTGTAGACGACGATGGTCAGCGGACCGTAGGTCCCCCCCCCATCCGCAGAGTCACTGACATCCTTTGCTGAGGTCTTTTGCTGGACTTAAAATTGAGTCTTTCTTTTTAACTACCTGTTTGTTCTCTTCCACACTCTACACACGTTAATACTTTTTAATTATGATGCTTAGTCCACCACCGCTGTGTTGATTTTAATATGCCCGCATCCCTTCAGGACTGTGTCCAGCCTGTGGTAATAAAGCAGGAAGGCCTGGAGGCGCTCGCTGACCAGGCGTCCTCCGACTCGTGTCCGTACAAAGACGATCCAGGCCGGGACGACGATGACGACCCAGACTACCAGGTTGATTGCACGTGTAACCCAATTCATTTAGTGTTTTTTGAAAAGGGCAAATGACCAAACAATCAGTGCATTTTGTTCTTCTGTTTAGTTTGAGCCAGAAGATCCGGATGACGGCGACCCGGGATTCACCGCCAGGCCCAAGCGCGCCGCAAAGCCCCCAAAGTCCCGGCGGGGCAGAGCGAAGAGAGAGAGTCCGGGCCCTCTGAGCTGCAAACACTGCCGCAAAACCTTCACCAAGCTGCTGCAGCTCAAGGCCCACCAGGCCGTCCACGGGGCCAACGCCGAGAAGCCCTTCCACTGCTCCCAGTGCGGCAGAGGCTTCTCCTTCCAGCGAAGCCTCAACGCGCACAAGCTGCTTCACACGGGTGAGTGTGGAAACACAAGGACTCTGCAAGAAGCACATGGGGCACGTTGGCATTCATTTGGTCCGTTTCTGGCCTTCAGATGAATGGAACTCCAATGGGAAATAATGTAGTGCACAGTTGGTATATCAAAGGCGGGTTATGAGCCTCAAAACCCTAAACAATTAGCCAAAGCTCCTCTTTTTCTTTATTTGATTAATTTCCCTGTGAATATTTACATGCAACCTGTTAAGCTCACATGACTCCTTGCTCCCATGCGCAGGCGAGAGGCCACACACCTGCGATGTTTGTGGCAAAGGTTTCACGCTGAAACAGCTGCTGAGGAACCACCAGCGGCTCCACGCGGAGGTCCGCCCGTTCGGCTGCGAGCAGTGCGGAAAGAGCTTCTACCGAGCCCACGGGCTGAAGATGCACCAGATGGTGCACACCGGAGAGCGGGCCTACAACTGCCAGTACTGCAACAAGAGCTTCACCATACAGGGAAACCTGCAGCGCCACCTGCGCATCCACACGGGCGAGAAGCCGTTCCGGTGCGAGACGTGCGGGAAGAGCTTCAACCAGGCGGACACCCTGAAGGGCCACCAGCGGATCCACACCGGCGAGCGGCCCTTCAGCTGCGACACGTGCGGCAAGCGTTTCATCCAGAAGAGCGCCCTGAAGACGCACCAGAAGATGCACTCGGGCGAGAGGAAGGAGCTGGCATGTGCAGCGTGCGTGGCGTGCGGCGCCGCGGTGGCCTGCGTCAGCTCGTTGCGCAAACACCTGCTGACGCACGTGACATCCATCCCGTGCGCGTGTGTCCTCTGTGGCCGGCGGCTCGGCTCCATCACGGACCTGCGCTCGCACCAGCAGCACCACACGGTGGACCGGCCACACAGCTGCGGGCTGTGTGGGAAGAGCTTCAAGTCGTCCAGCTACCTGAAGATCCACCTGAAGACGCACAGCGGGGAGAAGCCCTTCTCCTGCCACATCTGTGGGCGCACGTTCACGCAGAACAGCAGCCTCAAGTCGCATCAGGTTGGTTTGTAGTAGTGTTTTTAACGCTTTAGGCACACATTTATTTTGAAAAACCTTTTATCAAAGGAGCTTTTTAATTAATGGTTAAGTTATTTGTTGTTGGACTTCATGTAGCATCAAACTATTCCCTGCTGGTGTTTGTCACAGTACAGATCCGCTCTAGATGATAATTTGTCGTGCTACACTGACCTGACAACAGGAACTGAAGCTCTGCGGAGTGAAATTCTTCTTCTTACTATTCAGTAACCTTTTTATGATTGAGGAATTTTCTCAGACCCATACAGACGTGCACGTCCTTGTGGGCGGGTGATTTGACAGAGATTCATAGCACTTATTTCTGTCACATTTCTATCACGTTTGGAGAGTAATGTGAATCTTAATTGGAACACTTAAAGGAGCAGAACACACACGGAGAGGTTTCGGCAGAATGATGTGTTATTATTATTATTCTGGTTCACTAAGGCGGTATATAGCAGAAATAATAGCTCTGATTTAATGTCTATGAATGGATCAGAGGGTGCTGAAATAGATGCATCATAATGCTGATTTGTAAACCAAAGTATGAATGTGAGTGTGTACAAAAGAACAACAATTTCACTTAAAAGACCTGAATTAAAAAAATACATACAGGGATGTTGTTGTTTGCACAAATCTATGAATGGTGTGACTCAAGATTTATATGAACTTACGGAATTTTGACTCAAGGAGCAACAATGTAAATACAAAACACTTTAGTATGAGAGCCTATTGCCGTGAGAACTGGGTCTGTCAACGAATATTCTATATTTGAATATATATATATATATATATATATATATAGTGAAAATTTATAGATTAGAGAAAGAGAACGCAGATCTCTCGCTCGCACACACGTACGCTCTGTATGTGTGTGCGAGCGAGAGATCTGCGTTCCTGGCCATTAGTTAATTTACTTATTTTTGTGTCGGTAATATGTTGTTAAATATGTTTAAACTTAAATAAATGACCTATACAAGTAGTTATGTCTCGTTATATTAATTTTTGCTGTTATTGACGTGCCTAATGCACAACCAGATATTCGAATATCTGTGTTTCTAGTGAGAACTAATCAAGTTTCCCTTCCAACCTTCCTCCCTACAGGTGGTCCACACCGGAGAGAAACCGTTCAGCTGCGACACGTGCGGGAAGTGTTTCAGCAACACGGGGAACCTGAACCGACACCAGCGCATCCACTCGGGCGAGAAACCCTTCTGCTGCGACACCTGCGGCCGCAGCTTCAACCAGGGCAACAGCCTGAAAGCCCACCAGCAGATCCACACCGGGGAGAAGCCGTACATGTGCGACAAGTGCGGGAAGAGCTTCTCCTACCTGAGGAACCTGAAGGACCACAAGTGTTTCTACGTCTGAACCGGTTAGCATAGGCTTCACCAGGCCGGGAGGGGAAAGTTTGAAAAGTGCTCCTCAAGTCGAGTTGGGCAACGTCACGGACTAATTATGCCGGAGGCTTCAGTGACAATCTAGTTTCCGCTCTGTGACACTCAGGGGAGCTGCTGGAGCAGACAGCGATGGACGAGGTCCGGGTGCTTCCTGCGAGGGCTTCGTAGAAGTGGACCAACGGCTGGAGTGAAGGAGTCTGTGTGGGTAATGCGGCGCTCAGAGACCAGATTCTGGGCTTTAGATGTTTGCCCTGAATTAACAACCATTTAGTTGATAACGAGACAGGCTTTAAGAGTTGTAGTGGGCATCGTTATGTTCGACATTAAAGGCGCCTACCTGACTTGTGGTGAGCTAAATGAGTGCGTCTGCTTGGATAACCAAAGTGCTACTAAATGACAGGTGACGTTCTGAGCCAATGCAACATCTGTGTAGGTGCAGGAATAATTCCATTCACATGAATACTTTTTCAGGAGACTTTCTACACATGTTGTAATCCAACTGGTATCTGACTTTGTGACAACTTCTTGGATCAATGTGTCAATGAAAATGAATTCAGATGAGGTGTGAACAAAGCACAAGAAAATGAACCATTAAGTAATTCAATTACGTGATGAATGTTACCATGCCGTTAACTTGTTTTTGAGCAATAAGGTCGCTGTTGATGATCTGTTTTCCTCCTGAATTTTGCAGCACTTTGTCAAGTCACTTCTGATGTGATCGTTGTTGATTATCTGTTTTGTTTTAATGTAGAAGGGCAACAGATCATCAAAACAAAGTGCAGACAAAATCTCATATTGTCATTGAATAGCTCAACAGATCATTTAATTTGCCTTCACTTGGTAAAGACAGCCTTATGGTTCTTCATCCAAATGTTTTTTTTAGGCAGAATCTGCTGTGAGATGTCAAAGAACTGTAGGTTCATCATTTCTGTCGGCTCGTAACTGTTCCAGCGTGTGGCTCAGAAGGCAGGCGGTTGGATGTGATGCTCGTTACTACTTAGCCTCATCAATTTATTGTTTCTAAGTTTTTCACGGCCCATTTAATTGAAGTTCATGACTCAGTGACCACTGAGCGATTTAAAGGTTTACGGCGGTTTCATTACTTTCCCCAACTTTTACCAAAGGTATTATTAACAAACCAGGCACGATTAAACTAAGCAGTTTCATCAGTCAATGATCTGTGTGTAAAATCTATAGTGTGGCTGACTTATTTTGTTGTATGCAGCTTTTTTTCAGGATTTTTGAAAAACACTAAGTTATAAGACTGGTGTTTGTAAAGGTTTAACCTACCGATTGAATAATCTAATGAAATCCAAGTGAGTTGCCTTGTTTGCATTGGAAGTTCTGATGAGTTATTTTGTATCTGTAACTTCTCTAAATCTGATAAACATTGGAATGTGAATTTTTGAGGGTTTTCTTTTATTGAGTTTTTGGCAAATTGATAATCAAAAACGTTTTTCCCAGTGCTCATTTAGGAAGTCACTATCTTGTCCTGGTTGAGGAGTTCAAGGTCAGAGGGCAAATGCAGAAAGTGCCAACCAGGCAGACACAGGTCTGCTAAGGATGAGAGCTAGAGACACAACAAGCACTATTCAACACTCACGCTTTGTCCGTTATGTTTACATTTATGACCACACATTGTATGTGATTGCATCTAGTATTGCGGCGGAAAGACCTGCGCATCCGCCACACCAGTTTAGGGCCAATAGAAATCTTTTCTTCTATATCGAGCAACAAGTACAAAACTAATGTTCTTCCTGTTAGTCAGTTGTTCTTCCGGCCTGCGGGCCGACAACTGCTCCTGCCAAACGCAGCGCTGATATTTGATGACAAATAAATCTACCAGAATGAGAGAAGTTGTTGCATTCTTCCAGATGTTCCCAGCCATGCTTCCAATTTTGATCACATTTGTTCATTCTTTTATAAATAAACCATCAAAATACAATGCAGACACAAACAGAACGACACGTTTAAAATCTCATTTAATCACAGTGTGCAGGATCACAAGCTGTACAAAGAGGTGAAGTGAATTACGAAACTGTCCATGTTGTCTTATGTTGAGGCTTTATACCACTTTACAAGTTGGAACTGCACCACTTATTTGTTTTACCAAAATCACGTCTGCTAACATCCACATTTAATCTATTATCCTCATCCTTTGTCAATTAAATCATTGACACCTCTGCAGAATCATTTAAATACATAGTCAAACATATTCAAACATAGTCAAACTCGCTATATTGAGGTCAGGGTGCAAAAAGCCTTGAAAAGCAAAGGCAGGAAGAATCATTCAGAGAACACAAAACCACAGAAGTTGCCACAGCAGGCCCATGACTGTGAGGAAGAGTCGTGAGCACGAAAGCGAAGAGCCGCTTGCAGAATTTGCGACACAGTCATCGTGCAACTGACGGGGAGACACAGCTGCCTTGGAAAGCGGTCGCTCCTCGGTTGAGTGTGAAGAAGAGGAGACGAAACAAACAGGCTGGTCCCTGAGCTTCTCTCTGTGCGTGTGTACCCAGCTGCTGATGTAGAGGATGTGTGCACAGGTGCAGTCCCACAGGTTACCTGACAGATACACCGAGCTCAACTGTCCCAAAGGCTCCAAGGTCCCGTTCTCCACTGCTCTCAGCTGGTTGCTCTTCAAGCTCAATCGCTGGAGTTTTGTGAGTCCTCGGAATGCGTCCGGCTGCAGGTGACCCAGCTTGTTCCCCTCCAAGTTGAGGTCTGTGAGCTTTGAGAGTCCAGCGAAGAGCTGAGGGTGTAAACTAGTCAGGCTGTTGTGCTTTAGCTGAAGCTTGTGGAGCGAGTGGAGTGGATCGAAGGTGTTGGGTGGTATGTTGCGGAGTTGATTGGAGCTCAATCTGAGCTCTTTAAGGTGCGTCTGCCCGACAAAGTCATCGGGAGACAGCTCTGAGATCTGATTATTGTCCAGGTCCAGTGTGCTAAGATTTGTCAGGATCCGGAACAGGCCTGTAGGATGGAGGTTGGCTATGTGGTTTTCATTTAGTCTAAGCTCTTTCAAACCTGTGAGGTCTCTGAACTGGTCCGGGTGTAGAAAGGTGAGATTGTTGCGAGAGAGGTTCAGCAAAAATAATTTCACCAAACGGTGGAAGATTGAGGCATCTATGGACCTGATGTGGTTGTCATTGAGGTGGAGCTCTTTGAGGGCCCTCAGCTTGTGGAAAAGGCCGTTGGGAAGGTGACTAAGAGCGTTGTGTTCCAAGTTCAGGTTCTGCAGTGACTTCAGCTCGTTGAACAGAGCCGGTTGGAGATTCGGGATCCGGTTGTTCGACACCTGTAGCTCATTGAGTCCTAGAAGGGAATCAAACACCCCTACTGGTATGTCGGAGATCTGATTGCAGTCCAGCTGCAGGTCCTGCAGGTTGTTCAAGCTGCTAAACACGTCCGAAGGAAGAGTTGTCAGTTGGTTGCTGTACAAATCAAGCAACGTGAGGTTGGTCAGGTCCTTGAAGACCTTCGCAGGTAGGAAATCTATGCGGTTAGAATTGAGGTCCAGTTCACTCAGCGCAGTCAGGCCTCTCAGTGACCCCTCTGACAGACTGGTCAGCTTGTTGTTGCTCAAGTCTAGATGAACCAATCTGCCCAATGTGAAGAAGCAATCGTCTTGAAGGTCTGTGAGGCTGTTCATCTGTAGATGCAGATACCTGAGGCCGTCCACACCCCTCAATGCCTCAGCCGGAACAGCGGCCAGCAAGTTCCCACTCAGGTCAAGCTGCTGGAGACCCGTCGCTCCTCTGAAGCTGGCCTCGCCCACGCTTGTGATTCTATTCCTGGATAGAACGAGTTTCTCCAACGCAATGGAGTTCCTGAACACACCTTCCTCTATGTTTCCTATATTGTTGTGGCTAAGGTTGAGTTCAGTCAGGGCGAAGGCCCCTTCCAATAAACCAACCTGTAACGTTTGAATTTGGTTAAAGTTCAAGAACAACGTCTTCAGATTAGCTAATCCGCGGAGGCATCCAGTCGGCAGATGTTCAATCTGGTTCTCACTCAGGTCGAGTATGGTGAGAGCGGGGCAGTTTAGAAACTGACCAGGGTGTGGAGACCTCAGGTCATTGTCGCGTAGGAAGAGCTTCAACAACTTTGCCATATTTGGCCAAACTGGGTTGAGGGATAGGAAGGCAGTCAGCTGATTCTTAGTCAGGTCCAGGACCTAAGGAACATACAGGAAGGAGAGAAGACTGATCGGTCATGTACAAGTCTTTTCAAATATAGAAATAAACTTCATATTATTAGTGCCGGATATTACATCAGCTGGATGTTTCCTGGTGGCCGAGGTGGGTAAATCTGTTTCACAAGAGATTAGCCCACAACACGAAAATGAGGTCACTTCCTGGAGTCTCTGTTAGTTGTCGGCCAACTTGTATAAATAGTCAGACAATAATTTGTGCTCATTTCATAAATAATATATTAGGCATTAATTATTGAGATTAGGATTTGCTGGCAGGTGGATTTTGTTAACATTGCTCGTTTCTTCTTCACACTCTGGTCTTTATGCTAAGCTCAGCTAACAGACAATTGTCTGTAGCTTCATCTTCTTTTTATATTCTCCCAAATGTTTTATTATCTCTTGAACATCTTTATTGTTTCAGGTCACTTGAGGGGCAGAAGACCCGCAAAGCAAGCTAACAAATTGTTTTGCATTATAAAGTTCTGGTGTCAAAATCGGACCCATTTTAGACATCCACCTCGACAAAACATTCATTTAGTGCTTTTATTTTTATCCATCTGACGAACCTCCAACCTCCAAAAGTTCAATATTTACTGCTCTCTGCCAAAAATATATTTTCTTTTTGTTAACTAGTCTCGAACTTTCTCCGTCTGCTGTGAGACCAACATGTGAAACCAACAGAATGGTTTGTTAGATGTTCAATAGATGTCAGTCTTGCGGCAGGAAATCAACAGTGGACAGACACCTGAAACTTTACTGCTGCGGGACTCTTAACAAGTACAGCGCTGCTTACTTTTCTGTATTCTGGCAATCATCTTTTTCTGTAAAAGCCACAAATCAGTGGAACACTGCAGCTCTATCGGCACTTTAAATGTTTAAAAAATCTGTCAAAAGCTGCTCAACACTGTGCACAAATATTATGGTCTTTACTACTGACTTTTAATGTGATACTACTACTCTTCCTTTCACAGCTTAGAATTTAGTATTATGTTGTTCACCCGGTACTGTTTGTTATTGCGTTAACCTTGTTATGACCTGCCAAGGGACTACAGATGCGAATGAGCTAAATCTATAATCTGATACAATGCGTCAAATGGGGACATTAATGTTTGAACTGTACATGGTCCCTTTTAAATAAAATAAACAAACATAATAAAAAGCACCACACAGCAAGCACAGTTTCCAGGCCGCTGTGCGTTTCATACCTTCAGCTCCTCCAGCCCCTGCCGCGGTATTTCCTCTATCGCATTGTATGGCACGTACAGCCGCTCTGTGCCCTGCGGCAGCTCGGGGATCCGCTCGAGTCCTTTGTCCTGGCACACAACAGTGGTGAAATTGTGGAGGCATTGGCAGATTGGGGGGCAGAGGTCAGACGCCCAGACAGAGAGGCTCAGGGAGGCCAAGGTGAAGGCTACCAGCATGGTCGCTACAGCTGAAAAACAAATGTGAACCAGTGAGACAAATTTACTTTATATACGTGAAAGAAACATTTATGAATTCACTATTATCGGCTGTTCGTCTCGAAGGCCTCTGAGGCTGTTCATCCGTGAGCATATATTCAGAAAGTATAAAGTTTCCTTATTTATTCTCTTTTAAATCAAAACTTACCACTGACGACAAAGCTGTGTTTTGTTGCGGGGTGGTTTCGCTAAATGCTGAAAAAGCAGAGGATGCCGAGTGAGGTGCGACTGTCTGTTGCAGAGGAAGTCATGAAAAAGCTTTTCTTGGAACGATGACAGAATCAAAGGGTCGGACGAGCATTGAGATGAGACAAAAAAAACCCGCAGCGCACAGACTGAATACAGTAGGTTCATCACGAGAAACCGAGATTTAGTGGGCAATATGTGATCTCTGAGATACATTGAGTCAATGAGGGACTTCCCAGGTATCAAAGTACACAAACATGTGTTTGTTAGTGTGGTGATGTCCTCGAGGTCAGCATGAGCTACCAGCTGGATCAATCCCTGCTGACGTGCTCAGGATCAGTACTAATCACTAGCTGCTGCTCACACACGCACGCATGCACGAACACACACACACACACACACACACACACACACACACACACACACACACACACACCCTACACCCAAATGTAGAAAGCAACAGAAACAGCAATACCCGACGCCCTTCCTCTCCTATCCTCCATTAGATGTATTGATGAATTCAAATCCATTGTTTTTTTCTTTCCCCTCTAATTGGTTTATGCACAGCTGACCGGACAGCAAAGCTGATGATGCTGCAGCGACACAGTTTTCAGAACCGGCTGTGTAATCCATGGAAATATGGACTGCTGCTCGGCTTGTTCTTTTCCAGTATCGATTCTCTTAGCAGCAGCTCTCTGCCCTCCTGGTAAACATCTCCTCTGCCTGTGTTCTCCAGAGGGATGACAGTGAAGCTGCTAGTTCAGGATCCAGCCTTTCCGTCTGAAGGTTGTTTCGGCTCACTGAAGGTCTCAGTCTCGGACAAGGAAGTAGGCGTCAGGAGAAAAAGATGAGGCCCTGGGTTCGCTCCAACCGGTCCAGATCGGTCCAGGTGAGAATTCTAATTCATTCATCAACAAATTCTATAAGTTTGCTTTCTTAAAGGTGTGAATTCCTGAAATGTTAAGTATGCTGATACGTTTCAAGGGTCCTCTCTCTCTTTCTCTCTGTGTTATGAGAAGTGGAAGGACAGATGACCTAGCTGTGGATGAAAAGAATGGCAGTATTGGATTTGAGAGTTGTGGTTTCTCTGGTTTCAGGAATCTCCTTGATTCTGCAGAATTTACAATCCAATCCAAAGACATGAGGCTGAAAGAGATTCACATTTTACTTAAACTGAACTTGACATATGTTTACAATCGGAGTTGATATTTATAACATTTCACTTTTTTGGCTTCTGTGCAATTAAAGGATCTTTTGAATAAGATGTTAGAGAGCGTCTTGTGTTCATGTAAAAACATGCAGGTTAGAGATCAGCCTCAGCTTCAAGAGATCTAGTTTTTATAAGTCACCACGCAGGTTTGCTGTTTTAATTCCAAAGGTGGAATATATTTTAGATTTCAGTTTTTCACTGCTGCATTTCTGCTTTCTACCGTGGTAATTAGGCCTGCTGCTTCATTACTCTTGTTAGTAGTCAGTTGACTTATCTTTAATGTGTTTAATGATAATCCTGAAGCAGACATCGGTCATGAGCTAAAGGCAGATAGACACATTTCTCTGTGTCTGTTGGAGGAGCCGTTGAAATGAAACCGACTTATTGGCCAATAATGATGTATTCATGGTGCAGGACAATGAACATAATAAGAAAGAAGCGAAAAAATAATAATAGCAACGATATAATAATCATCACCATAATTAAACAGACATAGTTTGTCTCATGAAAGAATTTTAGGTAACAGGAGTCGGTAATTACAATAAAGTGAGTGAAAGAATAATAAATAAATAAAAATAGTTTTAGCCACTAGGGGGCAATGATCCATCAGAAGAAAGAAAGGGGAGTTTGTTTGCCAAGGAATACATTTAAGAGATTTTATCATGAAAATAACAGGCACCATTTCATTGTTATCTACGTGCATTTAAAACTGTGGAAAAAATGTACTTTTTGTCAAACGTCGTCCTTCAGTCAATTGTTTAATGATTACAAATCACAAGGAATTGCTGTTGCGACTTTTTATGAAAGTCGGACGGACTGATTCCTTGAGGAGTACTCGAAGGCCTCATCTCACTGGTGACGTCACTCTCCCTCACGCTTTCTCTTGTCACTGTTTTTTTGTCGGAAGGCGAAGGGAGGGATCCCGTTTTATCACGTCTTCTTCACAAAAAAAAGCTGCCTAATGTTTCCGGGGGACGTATTGCGCTCCGGACGCTTCTCATTCACCGCGAAAGCAGCAGGAACCAAACCGAATGAGACGAGTTGAGGGCGGACCGGGCTGAGAGGCACATCCGCTGCTTTCTCTAATTCAACCAAAATTGCCGTTCTTTTTTTCCGTTTTACCAACGCCTCTGAACGTATCTCGGGTCCTGCAATGCGGGCTCACGCGACCTCCGTGTCCGTGGCTACTTATTTCGGTGGAATTCGCCGTTCCGACAAATGTCCCCCAGAACAATCACATTAGCTCGCTAACAGAAAGACAGAAACTCCCCCCTCGCATTGACTCGTTTCGGGTTGGCTTTTAAACCCCCGTCGGTCGCCTCGACGCTGGTTCTTTTTCATATTTTCTCAACATAACACCGATGCAGCTCAACGTAAACCGACGTCCACCGGGAGTCCAGCGACATGGTGCGCGAGCGTCTGGGGAGGGTCGGGGGAAAGTGAGCGGCTAAGTGGGGAGGGAGGGGGAGTCTGGGCTGTTATTTTTTTGTTTTCTTCGGATGATTTTTGGTTGGTAACAACAACAACACCAGAGAGGCACGACGTGGATGTAGTTTCTTTTTATGTATATTTGTTTTGTACGCATCAATTTAAAGTGGATGTAACCGTCTGTGTGATCGGTGCTGCCTTCACGGACCGTGACAATGAGGATCCGTTGAGAAGTGAGGCTGTGTTTTTTTTTTTTTGTTCTTCCCGTGACTGACGGCCAGTCTAATCTGGGGGTATTTTTTATCCCGGCTTGAACACCAACCCGGAGCCCACATTTTTTTTGTTTTCCTCTCGGAAGAAGAAGAAGAAGGGCACTCAGGGACCAAACATGTCTGTACGCACCGCGCTGCCCGGGAGCGAGCGGAAGCCCGATCACGTAAGTAAACGATCAGAGAAGCAGGACTTTTGTATTTTGTCCCCTTCAGCGGGAGAAACGGGGAATCATGAGGTGTCATGCTTCTAATACCTGCACCCCCTCCCTCCCTCTCACCTCACCCGCGGGCCCGGAGATTAGTGGGCCATGTGCAAAGAGCAGCTGCAATCCAGCGAGCAAGGCGACAGACGCGCTAATCCCCCCCCAGCTCGTTCGGGACGGATTGCAATCGGAAGCACAGGACGGCGGGGGGGGTTGTGGTGGTGGTACGGGGGTCCTTCGACTGGCTGCAGAGCGTGTGTGTTAAATACATTGCGCCAGCTAAATACACCAATTTAATCAATGAGGTTCTTTAAAAAAAAAACAGCTACCTGCCCTTTGCCCTTTGTCCTCCCCCCTCATCTCCTCTCTGCCTCTCCATCACCTTACTTCCATATCTTCACCTTGTCTGCAATCCGCCCCCCTCCCTTTTGAATCCCCCCCCCTGTAATTTGTGAAAGCCAGTCTGGTAGTGCAGGATCTGCTGTGTCAGGCTACTGATGTTTCCCTGCGTCTGTTGGGTCGTTCTTTTGACCTGAATATCTTTTTGAAAGCGTTTCACTGCATGCCTCCTGCTCAGGATGGATGTCCTCCTGTCCTCCCTCCACCACACATTGGTACCAGTAGTGCGCTGCAGGGAGAGCCCCCCACCTCCTTTTATATATATATTTTTTTATCTCAAGGGCACCTGGCTTCAAAATGCAGCCAGAAATACCAGCCACTCGTTTGGATTCGGAGGTCTCAAGAACACCTCCCTCCTAACGGTGTTGAAAGGCCGTGCGTCATGATCGCAGAGCCTGCGTCTGGTTTCTACATGTCGTGCGGTGACTCAAGCTTATTCACTGTTTCTCTTTCAGCTGTGACCTTTTACCACAGCGGTCGCCTCTATGTAATATTTTGGGTGCGAAAACTCCAATCAAAAGACCGACGTGGATGAGATATAGTTTACAGTTTGGTGATTATTGCCTGTAGCTCGTCCCAGGACCCGGAAGCACCCAGGGGGGCACAGTCCAGGAGTAATGTCTCGCGGGCGGTTTGGACAGTTTTATGTCAGGCCACACCCAATTGGAGGCCCTTTTTTCCCCCCCTTCAAAACCTATTCCACATCCTAAGCAGCCTCTCGTGGTTATGTGTCTCTCTCATGTGTGCCATGAACTAAGTAGGAAACCCAAGAGTTTTGCCAATTAAATGCGTGACTTTGGGGTCAGCTTGCGTTCTTTCCGACTGTCTAAGCAGGACGATTGGAGCAATCACGTGAATAAAACTTGTCGGAGTAGGAGCCGCTCCTCCACGGGACAGAGCGGCTCCTATTTATTTATTCAGTTATTCCGGTGCATTGATTTGTTACCGGTGCTGCTGGTGGAGGAGTGGGTCGGAGTGATCGCTCAGCCACCAGCCCGTCCAGTTCGCTACCTCACCATGGCAACGGCACACGGGTGTTCTCCATATTACTCTAAACCGACGGGGTCCAGCTCAGCGAACGCAGCACGCGGGTCACAACGCTGAACTGTGCCTCCCGTGATGTGTTGTGTATTGAGGTGTTTCCCTTAATATTATATGGCCACCGTATTCCTTTATTTCGCGTTAATTATCTCTTCAGACCAAACGGTTATATAGGTCAATATATTAGTCGTCTAAAAAGTGCTAAAACAAAATTATGCAAAATAGATGTAATGCATATATTTGAGTCTGAAACAATAGAGTTAAACGAGTTATCTAACTTTTCATAGTGCTTTTAAATAGTTTGTAACAGTATTTGATAACTTCACAGGCTAAAACATGTCAAACAGAAATGTCTCCCGTACATTGTTATTTTGTGGTTGTAGTATAAACGGTACATAAATATATATATACGTACACACAGCAAAGCGACCATTTTTTCACCTCAACCTATTATTTATAGCATTCAATTATTTAACCTCGTTGCACCCCCTGACATTTATCAGATGTGCTGCCTGAACATATTATTAATAACACATATGTATAACATGTCTTACTTAACATATCTTTTTTGTAAATGTTGTAAATAATCCTAAAACTTCAAATAACCCTTCATATAATGAAATCACTTGCAGTTGTGCCACCTAATTTACTGGTGCCACCACCTGACATTTGCAACTAATTTCAGGCTTAACCGGCATCTACGACACAAGCTTTAGTTTTAGATCTGGTTAGCAACTTCATACATATACTGCTTAACAAAATAAAAGAGCATTTAATAGTTTTACATTGATTGTACCGCCTGATATGAAAAGTTTACCAGCCATAAGTTGCCAGTAGCTATATTATCAATATGTTGGAGGGTCCTGAATATATTTTCTCACAGCCGCAAAGGTCAGTTGGGGTCCTCTTGATGATGCAATATCCTGTTTATTGCTCCCCTCTTCACTTCAAAATAAAAGTACCATATTCACAGCTGTGCCACCCTGAAATTTGAGAAGATGCAAATTGCTGGACAAGTTTTTTGAATGAGGTTAAAAAGATTTGGTATTTAAAAAGAAAAATTGTTAATTTGATTAGTTTCAACTATAAAAATATGCCATACTTTCCATCTTGAAGATAATAACATTTAAATACTCTTTTTTCAAAAAACAGTCCGTTCACTGGCTCAGACTGTTGCGCCATCGTACATTTCCTGGATTTGAGGGGTCTAACCATAAAGTAATATATGTGATTTAAATATACTCAAAATGTAATCAAACTGGATAGGTTTTTATTGAATTAAATGGTATATGTCAGTTCAAAGGGAAAGAAAACTACAAAACATGCATGTCATATCATTGACCCATATATGAGAGTTATGGCTTTCCTGGTGTCAAATAAGTACATTTAAGTTTGAATTTAGATTTTAAAACTTTCTATAGGAAATGACGTAGAGTAGTGCTTGAGAGCTTTAGAGGACATGAATGACTTAATGCGATTAAACAGAAGTGGTATACATGGCGTACATTTCTAGGCGTGCAGGAACATGTCGGTACATGCGATGCACACATGTTTTCTGCATGTTATGTTTAGTCTTGCTGCCTCCTGCAAAACTGGATTTAAGTGTTTGTAGAGTTTGTAATCTTGTGTCTTCCTGGGCTACATATTGTTTTGCCAGACAATAAACACGTCAGAGAATTAACGTTTTACAAATGCATCAAACCTGCAGAGTGCCCCACTCCTCACTGTCCTCTCAAGAAACGCAAAGCCGGTGTTGGAGATGTTCATGTATTCCCTTAAATACCCTTTGAGAAATTTGTTTTGCCCTAAAAACCCTTCGTATGAGCTGAACAGGGCTGTTGGCCCTTCTTCGCTTGAGGAGACATTTGTCAAGGTTTGCAAAAATGCCGCGAAATACGTGTCTGTTTTAAGCGATCCCTGTTTATTTTCATGCAGATCAAGTGTTTTTTGTCGAGGTTATGAGAATGGGGAAGTAGTCATTTAGAGGGAGGATATTTAGCCACTTCTTCAAGGCTGTAATGTTGCGTTTGTCATTAGACGCTGGTTTAGTTGAGAGGGAACTACTTTGTGGTGAAGCTGGTACGTCAGTAAAGGTTCTTCTTGGGGCTTATCGTGTGTCTAAGAGAGAAGAGGAAGTGGTGTCGAAGGTGTGGGTGAGTGCGTGTGCACATGTACGGCTATGTGCTCTTGAGAAAAGAAAAGAAAAATTATTTTCAGTGTGCCACCGCGGGGCAGAGCGAGGCTCTCCCACCCCACACCCTCACCTCCCCCCGTCTCTCTCGCCTCTGGATGAGCCAAAGTGCTGGCTGTCCCGACTTGTTCCGTGAGAAAGAAGGCGTCCACCTCTGGCGCGATGGCATTGGTTTCGCCCGCTTAACCCGGCTGAAAGGCGCGTTGTGGAGAACACCCAAAAGTCAGAGGGGTGGGCCAGTAGCTCCCCCGGGATGCTCCCCCGACCTCTTGATCCCTGCGGAGTTGCTTGAGTTACCGGCCATTTTTAACTTTGCCGGCGTGGAAGTCTGCGTGCGATACGCCGTGTGTGTGTGCGAAGTCCCAATGCAAAATTTCCCGTCGGGAAAAAGAGCTTCAAAGATTTAGCGGCCCTCTGTATCCAGAGCTTCTTCAGCAGGAGCGGGTTTAGAAGGAAAATAAATGTTTACTCCCCCAGCTCAGTGATCTCGTCACTTTGTTACTTGTCTGTTACTTGTTCGTTAGTGCACTTTATGCTTAATATTTTTCTTTTTAACTTTTTTAATATTTAAAATTTTTAACTTTATTCCCTTGTTTTATACTAACCCATAGCCTTATTCTACTAACCCATTGCATTAGCATTTCATTTTACTTTATTTTATTACTTGTGCACTGCTGTCTTGTCTGTCTACTGTCGCGCACTAACCGCCAAGACAAATTCCTTGTATGTTTAGCATATTTTGGCAAATAAATGTTTCCTGATTCCTGATCTGTATTACTCACTTAGATTGTCTTTCCCTTTTTAAATTTTTTTTTTTTTAATGATGTATGCATGCTCCTCCTAGTGAATGTAGAAAAGCTTTTCTAGGTGTGGCTCTTTTTTCTTTGTCTTATTTGTGCAGGAGAGGACTGTATTGCTACTGATTACTTTTGATACTGTTTTTTTTTAGAGTGAGTTTGACCAAAACCAGTGGGGGCTTATTCTTTAAAGTGCACTCTACATGATGGGATGTATTGACAATTTTAAAAGAACAGTTTCTCTGAAATAGTCACAGTTTTGCTTCAACAATCGGGCAGATTGCGCTCAAAGAAATTGTATTCGTTATTCATATTTTCTGATGTAATTCTGCTATCTAAGAGCAGCACTTTCCATGGCTGTGTAAAAAAAAAAAGGGCCTATTAACGATCCAGTTTCTTTAGAAAAAATGAGGATTGGCCTTTTAAAGGTTCTCAAAAAAGGAACACCGCTTTCGATGCAGCATGAAGAGGGAGAGATTTGATGAAAACATAACCGTGACGGCTTGTTATCTGAACGTTGAAAGTTGTTTACCTGCCACCTATTGTGTAATTCCAGTGAAGAGGCCGGTTGCAGACTGGTGCCGAACAGGTGGCCTTTACCAAGTATCAGGCTACCGTGTGGAGAATGACGCTGTGCACGCACACACATGCATTCACACACAGACCATCTACAGAGGGACATTCAGACTCGGTCAGAGGGCTCACAGTCGGGCCCTTGTGTTCCCGGGGTGAGGTGGCCCCTCAGGTGTCTGCTTACCGTCCCGGGTCTCTCCTCGGGCCTCAGCTTCGTCCCGTGCAGATACAGCACCCGCCCATCTGGTCCGCTTTAGGGTGTTTGCTGCTGCTGCTGCTGCTGCTGCGTGATCTGCAACTTCAATGAAGATTATTTCAGGCGTTTAAAAAAAAAAAGTTTATTCATCTTATCACTGTGGAGCTTCTGCTACGTCTCATGCGGCGAGAGAATTCAACATTCAACAATTTCGTGGACTGTGCATAAGAAGTTGACGTTGTCATGGTGACATCGCACATGGTTTGGGGACTGCGGTTTGCAAGAACTGCGTTTGGCGTTTTGCCGTTGTCGCCAGCTTGGCTGCGGAGGGATGAAGAGTATGCAGCTCTGGTGGTGGCCTGTCAATCACACGGTATCCCCGCCCTAAAGCCTTCCCTTCTTTATGGTCTATTGCTTAACGGTCCATCCTTTGCTCAATGAACATCATGCTGTATTGATGAAGACATCTGCAGAGTCCTTTTTAGACACCGGGCCTCTTCCTGTCGGGTGGAACGTTCTTTATGTAACGTGTGTGTGATGGCAGAGAGGCGGGAGTACATCGTAGACGCTGTCGACTCATGACTTCCTCCAACGGTGATGTCTCAATAGCCTCCAGATCTCACTCAGCCAAACCTTCTTAGCCAACAATCCCGGTTCCCCTTTTACATTTTTTTACAGTTTTAAAAACAAGTTAAGGACGCATTTTCAGATTAGTTTAGTAAGAATATCAAACCAGGAAATGCCCTTTGTCCTCCTCAGGATAAAGCTGGTCTGTTTTTACAAGAAAAGATTCTCCTCCATCCCCCACCCTTACCTCCGGGGCTTTCCTTTTTAGATGAATTGCCTCAGGCATTAGGGAAGAAAGATAATTATCGTGAGAGGTTGGGTCAGAAAATCGCTGATAGGGCAAAGTGTGGAGAATGGTAAAAGGGGGGAGCGGTTGAAGGTGCCTTGCTGAATACACATATATTTGTGTATGTGTGTGTTTTTTTTTTATATATATATATATATATATATATATATATATATATATAGCCTTCAGAACTGCCTTAATTCTTTGTGGCATACTTTCAACAAGCTGTTGGAAACATTGCTCATAGGTTTTGGTCCATATTGACACAATAGCAGGCTGCACGTCTATGATGAGAATCTCCCGTTCCACCACATCCCAAAGAAGCTCTATTGGATTGAGATGTGGTGACTGTGGAGGTCATTGGAGTGCAGAGAACTCATTGTCGTATTCAAGAAAGCAGTTTTAGACGATATGAGCTTTGTGACGTGGTGCATTGTGCTGCTGGAAGTGGCCATCAGAAGATGGTACACTGTGGTCATAAAGGGAGGGACGTGGTCAGCAACAATACTCAGTCGGCTGCAGCATTTAAACAATGCTCATTTGGTACAAAGGGGTCGAAAGGGGTAGAAAAAAAAACCCACACCCTTACACCACCAATCCTGCACCCTTACACCACCAGCCGCCTGAACCGTTGATGCACGGCAGGATGGCTCCATGCTTTCACGTTGTTTCCCAATTCCCACCCTACCATCTGAATGTTGCAGCTGAAATCGAGACTCATCAGTCCAGGCAACGTTTTCCAATCTTCTAATGTCCAATTTTGGTGAGCCTGTTGTCAGCTGACAGGAGGGGCCCCCGGTGTGCTCTTCTTCTCCTGCTGCTGATGCCCATCTTCATCAAGGTTCCACGTGTCGTGCGTTCAGAGATGCTATTCTGCATTCCTTGGTTTTAACGAGTGGTTATTTAAGTTACTGTTGCATTTCTTCATCATCTCGAACCGGTCTGCTCATTCTCCTCTGACCTTTCACATCAACGAGGCTTTTTCGTCCACACGACTGCTGCTCACTGTATATTTTTTCTTGTTCGGACCATTGTCTGTGAATCCGAGAGACGGTTGTGCGTGAAAATCTCAGATCATCGTCATGCATGTCTAAATGCATTAAGTTTAAATGCATTAAATTTGTGTTACAAGCAATTAAACCAGTTTACCTAGTGCCCGCTAAGTGTATGTATTGTGTGTGTGTGTGTGTGTGTGTGTGTGTATATGCAGATGCATATATGCATCCCTCTTTAAAAATGGAATCTGTGAGCCACGTTGTAAGAGAAGAAACCCTCCGTTTGCAATGAAAAGGCACCGGGTTTATGGAGCGGATCCCTACGAGAGAAGAACGCGCCTGTGGAGAGGCAGAGAGCGAGCGAGAAAGAGAGGGAGAGCGGCGTCTAGCCAACCAGTGACTCAGCGCTTTAATCCCCCGCTGCTGTTGCGCCGACTGGAATAAATCTGACCCTCAGCTCGGCCCGGTCTGATGATCGTACCCCAGCAGTGAATGATACGCTGAGTAATGTGGCACATCTCCAGAGGGGGGGAACGGAAAGCCAGCCGGAATCCACTTTGCATAGTGGAGCCAGAGTGAGGGAGGCCGCCTTTAACCCGCAAGGCCTGCTGGTCGTCCTTTTCAATGTTGTGTCCTCCCAGCTGATATTATTATATTCAATGGTGCAAAATTGTGACAGATTTTTTTTCTTCACCTTGTTCTGCTATAAGAATCTAATAGACTCAGCAAAGTAAGTGCAGCACTGTCATTAGTTCATTCATTTACTCTTTATAGAAGACATTTTGCTCTATATTACATAAACAACATGTCATGTGAAGATACTTTTCAATATAGAATATTGCATAGCCTGGCTTACACAGGGGGGTGTCCTCTTTAGGTTTCACATTCAAGTTAATTCCATTTCATGCATAGTCCTGATAACTGCGTGAGCACCGTGGCTGTTAGGATCTATGATCTGGCGTGAGGTGTGTTGTGAAAGTCCTGCTCGCCATAACGCACGACTCCCAGACGTGTAACCGCCACTTCACGTGTTGTTTCCGGCAGCTCCTGCTTCCTCGTGGGTCTCTGGCAAGAAACTCTTGCCGGGTGCTGCGGCGCAGCATCCCACACTCCCGCCAACTTCCTGCCGCGCTCGACAGAAGTCGATGGACAGCAGAGATGTTAGAAGTTTGGACGCGGAGGGCAGTCGTGTTGGTCGACAAAGCCAATGTGTCAAATGTGCTAGTGTCTATTCAGTGTACGAGGAAAAAAAAATCTATATATATATTTATATATATATATGCGGTACAGTATGTTTGGCAGTGGGCTACCAAGAGAAACTACTTCCTGTTTTGTTTTCTATTGAAAGGCACATTAGACAGAGACGTACAGATGTGCGTTGAAGTGGCCTCAGCTCGTCCTTCCCTTTGTGGTCCGCTGGAGTCACAGCTGCTCGGGAGAGAGGAAGAGGAAACCGGAATGGCACCGAGGGTCATTGTGTGTGTGTGTGTGTGTGTGTGTGTGTCTCTCTGCAGGGGTGGAGGATGCCTCAAGGTTACACCATTCCTGTGCCGTGGACCGGCGTCACACATCCTGTCTTTATCTCAATTCCTCCCTGCGCACGCACACACACACAGACACACAGACAGACCTGTACAGTACACCTGGGGTGCAGGGCGCCTCCCGTAGGGCACGCCCCATTGTGTGGAAGCGTGTTCGTGTTTGTCACGTCGCTGCGTTGCGGTGGTCCCGCCCCTCTGGGGTCATTTAAAGCCACGACCACAGGGATTCATAGACCTTTCCTCCAAGAGTAGCAGAACGAGTGTAAATTGCTGTCAGCGGTGCAATAAGTGTAGCTTGAAAATGATCACGTGGCAGAGAAGCAGCAATTGGCGCAAGATTATGTTTACAAAACTCATGTGTGATGTACACACATGCGTGTGTCTCCTTCAGACAGTTTCCATTCGTGCATTCATTTATTTTTTTCGTTGAGCCGTACACGCCCACGCAGTCCTGTGCAAAAGCTGATGGAATGCCAGACACGCACGCCAAATAACAAATATTGTTTCTTAATGAACAGTTAATCTGCTGATGTGTGGCTCTAACCGTGTGGGTGGGCCTCGCCGTCCTAAATGTCCGAGAGAACGTGCACTTTTGTTCTGTTCTGTTCACGTTTATTCTGTTCTATGAGATTTAACATTTAGATACACAATAAAGACATTGGCCCATCCCGAATTGAAATGCTGGCGGCGTGCCCGGCGCTAACTTGTGATATCTCTGAGCTGCGCCTCAAGGGATTCATTTATCCACAGTCCACATATCGGATTTGATCAGTGTGCTGCACATCTCTGAAAATCAGTGAGGGATGCTATTCAAAGTCGTCATCTCATCTAATCAGGAAACGCTGTTGTTTGATCTCTGTGCAGATATTTTAGTGTGACCTGAGGGCAGCTCAGACCCATTTACACATCGAGGGTAGGATAAATAACAGAAATGTGAAGCAGTTATAATTCTAATGTACCACAATCTCTTGCCCCCAAAATGGAGTCGACAACAGTTTCAACAAAAAACTCCTAATTAAAACCTCCATGGAGGTGTGATTTATTGCAGGACTGCATTTGTTTTAACCAGTGAGTTGGTATCAATATTTTCCCATGGCAACTTTTGAGGTTTTATTAAGCCGCCCCGGCTGAATTTTTTCACAGGTTTTGGTCATTTGTGAAATATCTGAAGAGGTTGGCAATCATAACGTGCCGTTACAACATGTGCAACAACCTGTTTGGAGGCGTAATGTAACGATGACGGCGCTGCTGCTGTTGACAGATTTGTTTTCAGTTTTCACGTCCTCACAAAAGTAAACTGGCTGGACTTTTATTTTATCGTTTTATCGGTGAGGGGAGTTGTATTCAGGACTGCATTTATATGAGACAGATGTAGATGGGTTTATATTAATCATTTATTATAAATAACATAATTCAGCTACTTTCAACAGCCTGAATTGTCTCACTATAATCAGCCCAGAATCCAAAATGGGAGCAGGACGTTTTGAAAACATCTTGACATTAGATTTAAAAGCAATGCAGTTGAGATGGGACCCAATATTAGAAACAACAGGGACATTAAACTTTAATCGCCACGGCAACATGTGGCCAGCAGCAGACCAGGGACAAAGAACTCTGGACCGGCAGAGCGAAGTGAGTTGTGCGACACTGATGCAGGATGTTGTCTCAAAGAGCCGATGTCCTCCAGCTTGTGAGGTGCAGCTCATTTGCAGAGTGTGCAAATCACATATCGTCATCCATCTTCTACACCAAATGTCACTCTACATGCGTAATGATCCGCTGCCATTGGAGAGCCCATCAAACACACACACACACACAGTGGCCGCCTCCTGAATGAAACCACATAGTAATCAGAAAGGGTTTCCTTGGAAAAAAAAAAAGAGAGCTGGGGGGGGATGAGCAATGGAGGGCGACACAAAGCTCAAAATGATGGGAGGTTGTCCTGAAAATGAAGATAGCAGCGTGAGACAAAAGAGGGGACGGGCACAGAGAGGAGAATGGAGGCAAATTGATTTGTCTGGGGGGGGATGGGATGAGCCTGGGGAGAGAAGGAGGGGTGAATAGAGGGGGGGTCGGAGGGGGAACGTGAGCGAGGCAGAATTAATTGGAAAAGGAACGTTGTGCTGGATGGCTTTAGTACAAAAAAATGAACTACTGTAACCCCTCAAACGTGTCCTTCAAAAATCATTGAGAAGTTACACTGAAAGTACTCATATGACTTTTGTAGAAATGCTTACCTTGCTTATTTGTAAGTCGTGTGTGATCTGCTCTTGTGATCTCACCGCTGCATTTACCACATTGGGTGCATTTCAAGGTGATGCTGTTTCATGAGAGCTCGTGGTGCTGAAACTGTGCTGAAGGCTTGCCATGATTTCCCCTGAGGTTTCTCTACCTTTCCTCCCACGAAGAAGTCCTGACTAAGCACGGCCTCTTAAATCTGTAAAAGAGATGTGGCGCTAACACGACCCGCAACCCCATTGTGTTGTCTTACTTGTGTCCTACATGCTGACATTTGGCCGTAGTCTGAATTGTCAATTGGATGGAATTCAGGTGGTTTGTCTTACTTATTTTTCTTTTGTTGGCAAACAAGACATTTAAAACAAGCCTCTCACTCTTTCTTCTGTCCCTATTGCTCCGATCTTGTGGATGAGGCGTTAAAGCCGGTTTGTTCCCGTGGGATGTTTCATGTTTCCGCTCGGAGGAGAGCAGATGGAGGTATTAGCATTTGACCTTTTTATGTTGCGAGACCCCCAAACCTTGCTTGCCCTTAACGGTTCAGGCTGAGTGTGGAGTTCAGGGACGGAGGGAAGAAGTCACTGCATTATAATATTGTCAATATATATTAAATAGTATAAGACACATGTCTTTTCTGGGGCTCAGACAGAAACTTGCTTTTATGACGTGGAACACAGTTGCATTCTTTATTCGCTTATCATGTCGATGCATCTAACTTGAATTCAAAGTTCACAATTTCGGTGGCTTTGTTGTTCATTAAATGTGTTTTACAGCCACATACTACTATAATATATTATCAATAAATCATAGAGCTAGAGCAAAGAAATGAGTACACATACATGAGTGCAAATGTGCAAGCAATTTATAAGTTATATAACTTATGATTAATTAATGAATAATTTAGTCAATGAGTTTATTATATTATTTCCGAAGAGGATTTTGCATTGTGGTAGTTTAGGCAATTTCAACATATTCAAGATTTTTTTATTTTCTGTCACGTCACAGAATTTTCACTATTATCCGTAATGAGGATGGGAATTCACAAACACACTTTTCATACGTTTGAAGTCGGATGTCCCGGGACGCTCAATGTGAAGCGCCTCCCGCACCAGCGGCCTCGCAACCGCACATGAATGTGAGGAATGCAGACTAAGAGGGGTCAGATGGTTTTCATAGGTGGACCCCCCCGGTTACTCTCGCTTCACCCGCTGATGTGTGGTACCAGGCCGCAGTCATGTGACCCCAGGAGCAGGCTATACATGCGTCTCTTCACTTCAGATACTGATGATACGGACTTTCGAGCCCTGAATGCAACAGTAATGGCGAACATCCTGAGTCTCAGTGATGCTGGCGTCTCACACGCATCTCTCTCCGTCTCTCCGCAGCACACCTCCCTGTCGGCCAGCCGCTCAGAGAAAGGCACCGGCTGGTCCAGCCGCTCGCTCGGCGCCCGATGCCGCAACTCCATCGCCCTGTGCTCCGACGAGCAGCCGCACATCGGGAACTACCGGCTGCTCAAAACCATCGGCAAGGGCAACTTCGCCAAGGTTAAACTGGCCCGACACATACTCACCGGCAGAGAGGTGAGTTTCGAGGAAACGGGGGAGATGGATGCGGGAGGGGCTGAGGAGTGGAAGCAGACTCCAGGGTTAACAAACAGGGTTTGGAGGCCAGCAGCGTCACAGCAGTTCAGTGTTTCAGTACATTCGGTCCCTTCCTACATCAGTCGAGTGGATCGGTCTTATCAGAAACCAGGCTGACCATGTGACCATGCCCCCCCCCACCCCCCTACATAAAGCTGATGTGATTGCATACCGGTGGCTTGCAGCAGCAGTTGCACGTACTCTTTGACCAAGTTGTTGTTCAGCCTCTCATCAAACTGTCAGTTTGTTTAGTGGATTTCCACTTATGTTTTTCTTCACACTTTGAATTGAGGATTCTAGACGTTGTTCAGTAGTTTGATTGAGACGTTTGCAATTGATTTAGTTTATCATGAATGCAATTTAAAGCTGATGCAATTGGGAACTATTTTGTTAAAATGTTTTAAACCAGTTATTTTTTTATTATTTGTTATTTATTTTTTCAGTTATTTTCTCTCTGTTTAAAAATAAGTTACCAGATTAATTGAATAGTTGCTTATAAATACAATAAATGAAAGGTATGTAGAAATGTAGAAATGCATAGCGGTACCAGAATTTAAACCACTTTATGAAAAGGTATAACGGTTTGTTTTCATTTTTATTTTTCTCATTTTTCTTCAGGTTGCAATAAAGATCATCGATAAAACACAACTGAACCCGACCAGCCTGCAGAAGGTGAGCGACACATCCGAGCGTACGCGTTGAAGAGTTCATGCAGCCATCTCACAACCATTAATCGGTCATACAGATGGTTTGGGTTGTACGTCAGACTGTGTTGATTGCTTCCTTTTTTGTTGGGCAGAACATCAGCAGCTTTTAATGTCTCCTGGCAGTTTGTCTGTCATGTGACCCGATGTCAGTCAGCAGTGTGTCCGTGTTGCGTCACTCACAGCGCAGCAGCGTCTGCACGAGTTGTTGTTTTGCCTCTCGGATGATCCTCGTGTGCAGCAGGCATTCGAACTTTGACCTTTTGCTTGTCACGGGAAACCTGGTGTCGGGGGAAGCAGTCGCTGCCGCCGGTCAACAGCAGACCAGTAATTCAGTTTCCATGATTTGTTTAATCTTGACACAACTGTCACTTTGTTTGTCGAACAAAGGCCACAAGTAAGATGAACAAGATCTTCTCTTCTTCCTGCACACCTGTGTGGCTACATAACAAGCGTCTCCACCTCTCTCTCCATAGATTTCACTCCTTTTTTCTTTGACCTCTGTGGGAAAACACATAAAGCTGTTGTGTTTGTGCGCCGTATCTCGATCGCTTAATGTTTCATCCGCTATTATTGCTGCTAATTTCATAGTGTTTCCTGTCTGTCCAAAATAGAGGCCTGCTGAGTTCAGGGATCAAAGGTCATTGATTGCAGGTTAGGGTATACTTACTTTGGCACTTTGTGCCTGTGTTAATTTAGAGCAATTTATTGGTTGACCCCTGAAACGTAACCGCCGTGTGCTGCAGTCAGTTAGATCGGAGAGACCGAGATGATAGTTAAAGATGGAGAGAGCTTTTTGCATTGGAAGTAAAACAAACGGAGGCACGACACACAGCGGAGAACTGTGCAGAGGAATTACTCCTCGTGTCAAACAGATTAATGAATCGCAACAATTTGCGATTAACCAGTTTTTTTTTTTTAATCAATGTTTAAAGTAAAGCACCTTTTTAAATGAATGTTTTTAGTAAAGCACCTTAGTGCCATTTTAAGAGTTTTAACATGCTGTTAGGATCATAGTTACACTATTTTGATTATTTTAGCCAGTATGAAAGTGACATGACATTTACAATGTGGATTTTTCCACTGAAAAAAAACAACCTCTTGTGTTAAGAACCGGTTAAGAGTTCAGCGTTTTTGTTTTCGAACCAGACTCAATGAATAATCAATCAGTAGTTTATAAATTGTACCTTTGTTAAGGTGACTACTCTTTGGTTTCTGCCCTCTCTGGTGTCTTTGCTCTTTGTCATTTAGAGATGGCTTTAGCCTGGCGGGAGGTTTGGTTCTCACAGCTCATACAGGTCCCTCTTTGTTCAGTCTGACCAAACTGCGGCCTTGTCCGATTAAGGGTCTTTTTTATCAGAAACATCGCACTCACACGCACAAACACACGGTTGCGTCATGGAGATCAATGCTGCATCACGCACACAGCAGGCCTATTGATGAACCCTCGGCTGGTGAGCTACGCGGTTGGGGACCATTGATTACCCAGAGTTAAGTTATTGATGTTGTGGGATAGTGTCCTGATCGCACCCTGTTCACTTCAACACGCGATGGTAGTACACGGACATTTGCGCATGTGTTGTGCAGAACTGCCGTGTGTGGGATCTTCTAAAATGTATTTTATAAATTCAGATCTCACACCTTGAAATACTTGCTGATACAACGCTGGTCAAGAAGAGAAAACGTATTCCGATACTATCCGATAATGGCTGTGAAATTTAGGCAACTGCAGTTCTGTTGTAACACATTTCAACGCAGTACAAACTCTGGAAATTGAAGCACTGCACTCTTGACAATGACTGGAAGGGTTCATTTCCAAAAGGCTTAATCACTTTTTATACTCCATCGACTAAGAAATGTGTCTAAGAAATCCCCTTGGTTGTGTGCCCCCTTTCATGAGTGACCTTCGATCTTTTCCACTTACCAGTGGCTTGGCAGACTAAAAAAAACACAAAAACCCTCCAAACAGACGCAGCTCCTTTCTTGGGCACAAGTTGTGTTGGTGCATCTCTGGTCCCTCGCTGCGCTCCTTTCCGTGTTTTCATGTTACTTCTTGTTGTGAGCTGTACCCAGCATGCTGTTCGGTGGGGTCATTTTATAAATGTATAAAGGTGTTTTGCCCTGTTAGAGAGTGTTATTCGTTGTTGTTATAAAGTTATAACCATGACTCAATCTCAACACACTGAAGTAGCTCTGGGCGCTTCGTATTGCCGTCAGTTGTTATGGCGTAACAAAAATTCATACCATACGGAAATCTTATACCGTTTGAACCGGTATACTGCCGTGTGTGTGTGTGTGTGGTTCTGCAGCAGAGCAGTAGTGGTCCAATGCTGCATAGCGCAGCTCTTCCATTGGCGTCCTGTCCAGTCAGCATTATCCTGGCTGGGGAAGGACAGCCGGCCGGGTGACTCCGTCTCTTTGTCTCTGCACATGCTGCCGTCTCCTTCTCTCCTCCATCATGTTTTCATTTTATCACAAACACCAGTTTCACTCCAATTGTTTACTCAATTCATTGTTGTTAAAGTGTGTTAAAAAACATTATTTTTTTATTTTTATAAGAGGGGTGAACTCACTGTGTGCGAGAAGAAAGTATTTTAAGTGGCATGTTTTTTTATGAGACTTCCAAAGCTGAAAATATATATTACATACATCCGAGAAAAGCAACATATGCTGTTATTTTACTCCATATCAACTCAAACAGTTAATTGCTTCCCAACAGTTTCCAGTTGATTCTGTAAAGTTGCATATAAAAGCTAAAATATACAACATTTCCCTACTTGAAGCTGTTATTATGACTGTTATGCATTAGAAACTGATCCAATTACTTTAAACTTAAGTGGCTTTAAACCTCTGAATCAACTATTCACACATGAGACATGAGTCTTTTATATGAAACGGCCTTTATTAGAAATGCTCCTTTGTCTTCTGAGGAAAAAGTGAAATAATCATAAGCTGTATTTGTCCAACAGTAATCAGATGGGAGATTATGTGTATTTTCACCCAAGTACCTTAATGGAAATGCTCATAATTAGCAGCATTAACATACAAAAGATGTATTATTAACATTTGGATTTAAATAGAAGCCTTAATTCTCGCTCTCTTTACACTCTGCTACACTTCAGTCAATATCCTCTCTGTATCGTAGCTTTATGCCCCATTTAGGCCTCTCTTCCCCCACTCCTCCCTTCCTTAACCCTTTATTTGGTTCTCTTTCCTCCAGCTGCGCGTCCCACTTCTCTCTCCTCCCTCCCCAGGCGTTGTGTTGCAGTAGTAGCTCCATAGTAATCACACAGCTGTACTCTCCATCGTCTGCAGTGAGTACGTCTCCAGACCAGCAGGTGCTGCTTGGCCTGCTCCAACACGGGGGTTAGGAAACTAAGTGAGATCTAGTGAAAGCCAGAGCAGGTGTACTATACCAACCGCGCAAGCGATGCACCTCACAAAGAGCCTTCATCGCACACGTCTCATCAAAACACCGCCTGTCTCAACTGTGATTACTACTGATTGTAACATTTAGTGTAGTTAGGATGGGAAAAGCAACTCTTTTGTTCCTTCGGCTGCTAACCAACCCTCGAATTTGCAATGCTGCAACGTATGTAAGATTTATTGTTTATTATTCTGGCTTTTGGAGGTTAGTTGACTTAGAAAAGCATATGTTTGTTAATGTACAACGGTGATCATAAGCAGAGCTGAAAATCAGGGCAGAGAGCGCACGATGTCTGACATAGAAAACTGAAATATGCCCTCAAGTGAGTCTCTTGCAGATATTCAGGAATACCTCACTGAAAGAAAAAATAAATGCCGCTGTCCTGTTTTACGTCTTTGAACTTCGTGGCTGTAATGACAACAAACGGGACTTATTTTAATGCGGACCCACCCCCATTCCCCCCTAAAGGCCAACGGCCCACCAGCCAATGCGGTGAAGGGTGTTTTGTCGCTCGCCCCGGCCCCTTTGCCAGGATCAGAATTCCACACCGTCAAACAAAAGGGGCGGCCTGGGTGGTGGGTGGTGGGGTTTGGGGGGGAGGGGGGGGTTGAGGCCTTGGAACGGGATAAGGGACCCTGAGAAAGACGAGATGCAGAACTGAAGCGAAGTGTGTGCGTGGCGCGCCTACGTGCATGATAAGCTGGCGGCCCGACGCGGCCCCTGCTCCGCTTTTGTGTGCACGTGTAATGCCATTATCTGCGTTGCTTTTGTGTGTGCCGCGTTGTCCCCCGCGTCGCAGTCTGTGCTGCGGCCCCATTGTTACGTTGTTGTTGTTATGCATTGTGCATAATTAGACAATAAAGGAAGACGAGGGGAGCAGAAGATTTTTCCCACCGGCCCGCCTTGAAAGCAAGAGGAAACGCAGAGGAAGAGAAATGCAGCACGACGCTCCGATTTGATCTTTCACTCTTGTGAAACTATATTTAACTGTGCTTCTTTAATCAAGCTGAGTCAGCCTTCGTACCGTATGGGTCAGACCACCTAAAATTATACTGCGACTCCTCGTCGGCTCCTCCAGCCAGAGGGTTTCACTTAAGGGCGTAACCATGGTTTAAACATCGGCGGGGGGGGGGTCCGCTGTGGTGATGTGTCGTTCATGGGCGATTCTGAACGAATCCTTACAAGGACTCAAGAGTAACGAGTCCTCTCAAAAAAAGATTTGTTCATTTTCTCTTGGCCACGCATCGGGACTTGCATAGGCTCAGCCAAGGAAACAGAAATGATTCGTTGAATGCAGGTTACGTGGAAAATGATCCTTCTGCCAACCAAGTGGTACCAGTGCTGAGCCTATGCAGGCCACGTGAAAATGAACGATGAACAAATCATTGACCCGAAGACTCGGTTGGCAGATGAACGAAACATTGATCCGGAGACACGGCGTTAAACATCACCACACTACACGAGAAGGCTTCACGCAGCCACTGCGCGGCGACCTGCTGTCGCCAACTTAATTAAGCCGCAACTAGTGGCAGCCCTCGCAC